GGAATCTGTTTGCAAGAATCATACAATCGAGCAGTGCTCAAAAACCCATGATTATATGAGAATATGGGGTTATACTATCCAATATATATATATATATTGGGGACTATCACAATCCATGAGCCGGGAAGTCTTTAAGCCTTTATAAAGTCTTGAACACTGCTCAATTAGCAAACTACAGGTTGAACCCAAATGGGGGCAACAATTGGATACGATGGGTTGAACCAATAAAAAACGGTGGTGCAATGGGATGTAATGAAGGCTTATCTAAGGAAATTCAGGAGGCAACAAAACTGCAGACTTTAGCCTAACCAAAATGAGCATTGCGCCGACATAAGTTTCTTAGGCAAGAACACTATGCCGATCTAACTTGATTAAAGAAACTGTAGACTCCGACGACAATATCCAGACATGGAGACTTGAGCTAGAAGACATAGGGATGACAGCGATCAAAATGAATACCCTCTGGTTATTTAACATAGCCATGGAAAATCACCATTTTTAATAGGTAAACCTCTATACATGGGCCATTTCCCCTGGCTATGTTAGTCATAACCAGAAGGTATCTGACAAACGAGCGATGGGGATTTTCATCATGAGGATTTTCGCATCAGAAATATGGCGATCAATAGAAGAAACAGGGGATTCGAAGAGTGGCTGGAACAATTCCTGGTTGGTGGTTCGTTGATTTACCCATTTAAAATGACGGTTTTCCATAGCTATGTTAGTGGGATATATATATATATATTCTGGTTGGTGGTGACTGGAACCATGGAATTTTTCATGACTTTCCATTCAGTTGGGAATTTCATCATCCCAACTGACGAAGTCCATCATTTTTCAGAGGGGTTGAAGAAACCACCAACCAGTGTCACTTTGGCAGGGTACAGTTAGGTCATCACGGCTGCCATCTGCCTCCGTTTTTTTTCGCATCCGCAATTTTGGTAGCTTCTAGCCATATTCATTGGTTAGGTGAAACAATGAAACCCCGTTTAGTAAAAATTGAGGCATTAAAGACACCCCCTGTTCTATGAGTATTTTGAGTGTATTATTTATAAACCACCTAATATGATCATATTACTGGTTGGTGGTTTGGAACATTTTTTATTTTTCCATAATTGGGAATAGTCATCCCAACTGACTAATATTTTTCAGAGGGGTTCAAACCACCAACCAGATACCATTTAGCTCATATTTTTCAGAGGGGTTGATCATAGGTGGTTTATAAATGGTTAAAGATATTCTCCATGTTCCTATTTATTATACCTGTTTTTTTGGGCTTAATCAATCACCTATTAGGTAAAACGATACCCATCCAACCAAGCAGTATCGTTGGCAAACTCGCCACAGAAAGGGGGTCCTGATCCATTCTGATGCTAAATCCATGTGTCTGTTCCTTTCTTTTTTGAGGAAGTCTTTTTTCTAAATCCTGAAACTGAAACTACCAAATCAGACAATACTTCTTCCCAATCCATTCAAGTCTGGTTTGAGAGATCTACCCTCTGGTAAACTAATATAACTATGGAAAATCACTATTTTTCATGGGAAAATCCACTATAAATGGCCATTTTCAATAGCTATGTTAAATTACCAGCCGCTCCCACTTGAGATGCTGGAAACCTTTTGGCCTGGTACAAGTCGACGTGATGGCCTTGGCCTTTTACTGAAACAAACCATGGATATCCATGGATTATATTGATTATATTATAGTATCTGGGTAAATTATAACGACCTCACTGTTCTCCCTCACTGGAATCATGGTTTATTTGAGGGAAATCATCCCCATAGCTGGCCGAACTATTCAGGTTAGTGAAATATTATAATTTGCCCAGATAGTATATAATCCTTATAAGATGCGACAATCTGTTTGAAACGTTGAAGCCCACCAAATTCGTGTCTAGTCAAGTGAGTGTGAAGCCAATCACAGACTTGTGACCCGCTCTTCCGGAGCTAAAGGGCTTTTTTTATCGCAATTTTGAGGCCGACAAGGCAGGCTGGCGCGGTTCGTATTGTCTCTGAAGCCCGTGCGTTTGCGGTGATGTGCGGAGATACGTCTCTCGAGGCTTTCAGATCAGTGAAAATGGGATAGCCCCAAAATATCCCAATTTTTGGGATGTTTGGGAGACCTCATTTCCCAATCTTTATGGTTGCCCCTCATTTCCCAAAGGCAGATGCTTGGGTGGTTTGGAGTGTTCCAACCCTGAACTCTAGGGACCCTGGGCTTTTGAGAGTTGATGCACTGCCAACGCGGCATTTCGGGACGCGACTTGTGCATTGGCAGGGCCAGGGAATCCAGGGAATCACAAGGGCAGAACATGAGGTAGTTCCTCTGCGATGTGAGCAGTGGCGTATTCGCCTTGGCAAATACTGATACACTTGAACTCAGACCCCAAATGGTGAGATGCATTATGTTTTCTGAATGGGTTTACCACGGCGTGAAATGCCTGGTGACGTGGAACTTAGAATGCCATGGGGGAATTATGTTATATTATATTATAGAATTCATATAGGAAAAAACACCAAATCATTTTTTGCAGCCCGTTTTTGGAGCCACTCATGTTGCTTATATTTTGCTTGGGTGTAAACATATCATGACTTTCAGGGATATCCAGGTCAGCCATGAATAGAATCTGCGCCGATTGCAGCAAATTTGATTCGACCATTGATTCACTGGCCATGCCACAACTTGAGATTTTTGGACGTGGCGCGCTGCAGGATGAATGAAAAAATGATGGTTAGTAGGGGTAACTATCTCCAAATGGTCTTCTTTCAGGTCAATGAATTAACATCATTCAATTCATTCAGATTTCATTGACTTGGATTGTTTTTCTCTTGAACAAAGAGCATCAATGCCTATAGCAGCGAACAGAAACCATCAAATTAACAGGTGTTTGCAGATGCAGATCCTCCGCTAGAATGATTCCAAGTACCATGTTCCATGTTTGGCAAGGCTTTGAATCTAACTTGGGGGTTTCCATAGTCATGGAGGTACCCCTTCCAGCTCGCTGGATGGTTTATTTCATATGGAAAATTCCGTTGAAATGAATGATTTAGAGGTACCCCGCATGTTAGGAAACCTCCAAGGTCTATGCGAAAAAACTCTACTTCGAGCCTGACATCCTATCTGACGTATGTTCTGACTTTCTCTATCCCATAGGATCCATGGTGCTGCTATATATGGTAACATTTACCATCAATATACCCCAAATGTTAGCATATATACCAGCACCATGGATCCTATGGGTATTTGGCAGCATTTTGGCATCTCTGTGCTTGCGACAGTGCGAGTCTGTGTCGAGTCTGTGCCGAGTCGACGTGTCGAGTCTGTGTCGAGAGCCTGGTGAGAGCCTCATGGCGGATTGAAATTTTGAAATCATCAGGGAGGTGTCCAAAAACGGGTCCCCAGATCATCCAAGTCATATTATAAATAAATAAATAAATAAAGCATTTTGGGACTGAAACATATTAAAAACCCATGGTTTGGGGTTACTCACATGGTGGAGTCACCCGGAGCATCGACTGGTGACTAGTGACTAGTGGTTATTATATAACAGACGTCGCAGCCCCACGTCCGGCTGACGCTCGAGTCTCCAGAGGGAGAAGCTTGCAGCACTGGCAGCATTAAAAGTGCTGCAATAGCAACTTGAAATGCGTTTCAAGATGTTTCAAGATGTTTCAAGTATCTGTCCAATAAATTTGGGAACATGGGGAAGCTAGTGATGTCGTGAATGTCGTTAGTCAAGGTGAAGTATCAGAACGTGGTTTCAAAAGGACAAACTGGTTGCTTTTGGGAAAATCATGTCGAGGCCAAAACCCCACAGTCCGCAGCTGTTCTTGGAGCATTCACTTCCGAAGGAACAGCACGGAGAACAACAAAAGTCGCATGACATCGCCAGGTTTTTTTTCTAGGGTCCAATCCCGAGTGTGGCCCTTTCCAATTGGGAAACATTATGAACTGACAAACTATAGAGGATTTTTGGGAACAAACATAGAACAACTGTAGTGCACAACTGACTCAAACTTTGATGTTGAACTATGTTGGGCCCGGAAATCTCGATGGATCATGGCCGGGGGATGCTCACACCATCTCGCTGACTTCAAGTTGCCTTTTGCATAGCTCTGACGTGTCGGGACTTGGCGGAAAGAGATCTACTGCAAGAGGGATCGCTAGAAAGGATATGAAAGGATATGAAAGGATATGAAAGGATGGTGGACGCGCTAGAAATTGCGCCCTGAGCGTTTCAGGGCAGACATCTGAAGTTTGAAGTGACATTTTGGTCAGGGAGCACTTAGCAATCCGTGGGTTGAGTATTGACCTGCGGCGCCTGGGTGTTGAGCTTCCCCAAAGGGTGCCAAACGGCGCTTTCCCGTCCATCCATTTAGGACGAATATTCACCCAATCGATCCATTCAGCCTTGGCAGCCTTGGTTTTGCGAGTTGGTGGAGTTATTTTTTTCTTACCTTAGTTGGCAAAATAGATACACCTGCTGAAAAAAACAAGGTATCTAAGACAAACTGTACGAGCTGGGCATCGATTTCCAGAGGGAGGAAACTCAACAAAACACGCGAATTTCGGCGCGGCTGGAGAGGGTAGGAACCCAGAAAACGTCGCCAAAAAGGCTTTTGCAGCAGGACGCGTTTGACGCTGCTGGTGCTTGGGAATCTCGGCTTATCACTAGCTTAATGGATCCATTTTCTTGGCACCAGTGGGCTATCAGAATCATCTACAATGACTCGAAATGATTGACCTCCCTGAAAAAGGATGGTTTAGTCCTAGTCCTTAAGCCAATTTACACATCGCCTGAGCCAAACGATGTGTGGTTGCTATGGTTGCTATGATTTTCTACGCCTCATGAAAACCTGATTTGATGGATGGTTGGTCGAAGAATGGAAAATGACCTGTTATGCTTCACAGAATAGAGTTTAGCACAAAGGCCACAAGATCTCAATTCCAATCCAGTTCGACCTTTGACTTTTGTTGACATTTTGTGACAATTGAAGCCATGTTTGCATTGCATACCAACATCATTGGCATTTTCGACCATAGAGGCACAACACTACCACCTGAATTCCAGTACTTGGAGGTTGATGATAGGTGACTACCTCTAGGATATCCATAAACACCAGTGATTTCATAGTGACATAGTGTAAAACTGTAAAACTATCGAAAAGCCAGGGTCAGGCCGCGCGTACCATTTTTTTTCAAATAAGTTTAATTCATATCCACTTGGAATCACTTGGAAACGTCGCAAAACGACGCTGGCACGGTAGCGTTGGCGGTTTTTTTCCTGCCGAACGCTTCGGCTGACGCCTGGTGTTCCCCGTTAATCACCGACGCTCTTCAGAGCACCGGACCAGAGAAAATCCATGGGGATCCTGGTGTCATCAAGACCTGGGATATCCCCCAGGTTGAAAAAACATGTTCCCTATGAAAAGAAGTGTTTTTTGAAGGTAGATCGGTATACCATGGTATACCGTGATATATCCATGATATCCCATTTAACCACACCCAAAAATCTGAAATGGGTTTAGTTTAATCCCAATTCCTTGATGGCAAATCTCAATTGATCCCGTATAGCTTGGACTTCAAAATCATTGACCTCATGATCGCGTCGATATCTTCCATCTCACGCCCTCACGGCCCCAAAAAAGCCAACACTTGGCATATCTTGGGGTCAAAACTCAGCAGTTTTTGATGAAACCCGGAAAAACGCCAAGCTTTTGATCCCTCGAAGGCCAAGGGAAACATGATGTGGCTATTGAGTCAAAAAAAATCACCAATAAACCATAATAAACCTCCCATGCATCATTTTTTTACTTCAGATCTCAAGCATCCATTCTTCGCTTGGAAAATCGCAACCGACTCAAAAAAAATCGCGACCGAGAACTTCCGAAATCGATTTCGCGAGTCGATCGATCGAAAAATGCATAAAGCAACCGCTGGTTGTTTTTTCTTTATACCGAAAGCTGATAGAGATAAAATCAATTGAATAGAATGTATATTATATATATAATACATATGTATGTATATATATATATGTAATTATATGTATATGTATATATATATATATATATGATACCAAGATCCAAGTATAGAGATGAGGAAACTATGGTCGAAATCAATCTGATAGAGATGAATTATACCAATATTAAAATTCAATATTCATATACTGGGGAAACCATGGGTGGGAAATTTTGAATTTTATATCTTTGCCGTGAATATTATAAGCACAAAAAAACACCGCAGGGCATATATCTAAGATTGGCAATGTACGGTAGGAGGTTTTTCTGTAGGTTTTCCCTGACGATTGTGAGATGATCTGGATTGAGGTTCGGTGCTTCCCGCGCCTTTGGGGCTGCAGAGGGGAAAAAGTACCTCTCTCAAAAGAGATGGAGGGATGTTTCTGAAACAGCAGCCCAGGCCACGATGGAATCTTCATCTTGAAACAGAATTTGGACCGACATATTCACATAGAGCTTGAAATACCTTGGACTATCAAACACACTTAAATTCTTAAGATGATTCTTCCAGGTTGAAAATGTCAGTGGAAGAAGGCCTAGGTTGGTGTTCCTTCCATGTTGAATCTCAGGGTCTAACTTGTTGCCATGAAGTCGACAACACCGTGGATGATGAGAATGCCAGGCAGCCAGGCGGCCAGGATGATATCTCCGATCCTACTGGATCGTACTGGGCGCCTACGTAGGGTCTTGCAACAGATAGAACTGGGATGAACTGGGACAGGATCCTTATGGCGTATGGGACAGGATTATGGTTTTCCACTTCGGCCAGCATTGGCTAGCATCTGCGGTCGCTCAACAGCCTTTTTCCAATCGGATTGTTGTTTTTGCGACAATCTTTGAAGAACTTGAAGAACTTGAGCACTGGCGCTACATCGGGGGTTCAGAAACATCTGCTGAACACATAGCTGTTACGTGGCTTGGCAGAGTTTCAAGTTGAGTTGACGTCGACATTTCTGGACTCTGGACTCTGGAAATCCCAACCAGTCTGTGGAGAAATGCTATCCCGCATCATGTGGCATCATCGATGCATCAATGACTAAACTGTACGGTTTCTTGGTACTAACTCGGGTGGACTAATCTTGTCAGTCGATTTTTTTTGAGTAGGACCAAATGATTTGTAAAGGAATGTAAATCAAGGTTTCTGAACTGCTCTTGATAGACATTACACGACGAGAAACGACAGCTTTACATGGATCTGAAGATGACGATCTGTTTCACACAGGCTGATCCATCGAGCATGTGTCAGTGACCTTCAACTGGCTTATCAATTAATCTCCAGCATGAGACTGTAAGTTGATGTATAAGTTAAAACACTGGATTTTGCGGTTACATTTGCATTAGCAGCTCAATGAAAATCTGTATCAGCCATCTAATTTCTTGATGTATAAAACTACAGTATTTCTTTAAGGTCCTTACAATAATCCCTTGACCCATGCATGAAGAACACAGATTTCTATCAGCCGTTGACGTCTTCTCTTCGAGATCATGCCACGTGCACTTTCGAAGCGACCCCAGCACACAGCCGACAGGAGCAGTGCGTGCATCGACACAGGTGGCTCAGCTGGTGACCGCTTTCACAAGGATGACATGACATCGACAGTGGCTAAAAACACCTGAGGATGGACAGGCTGGAAACATGGATGAAGCTGGGGAAATTAGGTAAGTATAATGTATGTATAATGTCTGTTATTTCAGCAAATTAGGTCTGTATACTCCAAACAGGCAACATGACATGAAATGGATTTGGGGCATACTGGATACCACATTTTTGGATCAAAAATCAACGCCTACTGTGAGGGGCCACAGGTTTTGGTTGATTTGCTGTATCAGCCCTCCAAATTTCTGGGAGGACAGTTCTGACTGAACTGGTGGCAATGGCACTTGATTGGATTGGTGGCAATGGCGCCCTGAATCATCCCTTCACCCCCCAAAAATGAACACTTCCCGTTTGAAATACTGATTTACTGGTTGGTGGTTTGGAACATTTTTTATTTTCCATAATATATGGGATAATCCTTCCCATTGACTTTCATATTTTTCAAGATGGTTGAAACCACCAACCAGTTTAATATTGGATCTATTCATTCTCGGGTCTCATATGTTAGATGGGTTGGATTAATAGATTGGTAGGGCATTTCTCATATTTTTTGAGATGCTGCGTCATTTGGTAAACAACAAACCATGAGACATTCCTGACGTTCCCTTTTTTGGTTTCATAAATAAACCTTTGAACATGCGAGGTTTATGTTTTAAAGTGTAAACAGAGTGTAAACGGTTTGCCACGTGAATGCATCAATTTGGGGGTTGAAAGCGTATGAATATCGGTCATGAGCTAAGACTAAAGGACCACCCTTTGGTCCATTGTTCGTGGTACCAATCCATGTCCCCCAATGATTGGACCTATACTTGGGTGGGACATGGAGGAAATGTCAACTGGTTGTTACCCTCTGGTAATGACTAACAGTTGGCTATTGAAAATGGCCATTTAGTTCGTTGATTTTCCCAGCTATAACATGGTGATTTTCCAGTTCGCTATGTTAGTTTGAGGGTAATTGGGCTAAATTACCTTGAAAGTGGGAATCAGCCAGTTACAGTGAACTCCAAGGCGCATCTAAGTAGTCATATGACTCATATGACATGCTCCATGGCTTTCCGGCACAGCCAGAGCCTCCTTCAGTGGCCTTGCTTGCCGCACTCCCTGCTACATAGGTGGCCGCTCCTCATCTTACCGTCGCCTCGCGACGTCGCCTCGGTAGTCGGGAGTTCTGCGGATCGGTCAACGTTTTTTTTTCCGCAGAACATCGAACTCCGACGCGAAGTGGAGATCAGAATTCTTGGAACTCAGTGGCTGTAGAAACATGTCGACTATCCATTACAAAACGGCTTAGTTGTCAGGAAAATTGGGTTATCCATGCAGAATTTGTGCAACTTCCGCCAGTCCAAAAGAATGGTGAGACTCCACTGCCATAGATTCGCGGCCGGACCATGCCGGGTATGCCACGTATGGAGGTTTCCTAAGCCATAGGGGTACTATTCAGTGATCATCCATTGGGGTATCCCGGATTGGCTCAAGAAAGCAATAGGATGCAATAGGTACAGTAAGTTGGTTGAAGTAGTTTTGCAGCATGGTTAGCATGCTTGGAAAAATGCTGGATATAAATCTCCAGTTAGATGCAAAAAAAGCAACAAACATCACTGGGCCCACATTGTGAAGATCATCCCGCATGGAATAACAACGCCACATGGCGCTTTTTTTGGATCAACCCACGACGAGCCGCGATCGTGGTTTAAGAAGAAATATATGGCTATGGTTTCCTGTACTTGGGGATGTTGGATATGTTGGTTTATTCAATGGCCATGACTCAGGATCCGATTCATTGGAGGTACCGATTCCATATATTTTTGGCCTATTTTTCAGCCTATGTAAGGGAATATCCCCACAAAATACGGCCTTATATGGTACAGTACCTCCATTTTAGGATCCTGAAATTCCCATTGATTTATGGTAGATATCTACACTTAGATGGATTCATGAATCAACAAATATGACTGGAGAGGCCTGCTTTGTGTAGATTTATTAGCTGGGACCCTGCTGCAACAGCCCCCGGAAGTTGGAACGTTGGTCTGGGGCCGCGCCCGGCCGCGCTGCACATGGGTTGTGCTTAGGCTAAGTCTAAATTTGTAGAACATTCACGTTGGAAAATTCTGAATAAAGATGAATAAAACTATTAGAATCTATGCATATATATACATAATATATGACCCATCTAGGGATTATGATTGGATTTACAACAGTAAGTCGGTGTAGCAGTTGAGGCCCCAAATGAACCATCAACCTGTCGTTTTTCTGGATCTCTCTAGTGGCTATGGCCCAAAAATGAAGGTATGGGCAAAATGACATGGCAAAGGATCCACTAATCTGGTTTTTCAGAAGTCAAATTGGTTATAGGAAAGAGATCGAAAAATCTTCAACATTTTCTGTTGAAGGTTCAATTTTGATCCGAAATCCTGTAAAATTTCCTCCATGTCCTACAGTTTTCAGCTTTTTTTTAGACGCGTCGAGCCACCCAGAGCAGCTCACGATAGTTCAAGGTTCTGCTTGGGAGAAGCTTAGAGAGAAAAAGACCCAAATGGGTGGTTTACTTGGTCAATGGGCCGTGGTGACCCATTGATTTCCAACTGTGTTACGGTATTGGCTTCCAATCAATTATGAAACTACTGTAAACGCAATTGTGAACCAATGCTGCCTTGTGGATTTTAGTACGTATTCCACAAGTGGTAGATATCAACTTTCACAATTCACGGAAATAAATGAATTACACGGAAGCTGAGCAGTTTAGGGTATTTGCAAACCAACAGTTTCAGCTGAAAATCCACTTTGACAGGGTTTTGAGCAAATTGAAATGAATCACTGCAGTGCTGTACCTGCAGCATTCCATATTGGTCATGTTGTGCTTCAGCACTTGGATGAAAAGAACACTTTTTCACCGCTTAGGCCAGAATAAGGTGTGCGGCATGCGCAAAAGAGAAGGGGGGGCCATTAAGAAACATTAAGAAACGAATGCAGACACCTAAAGAAATCAACCAAAACAAAGACATACAACAGCTTACTGGACTTGCTCCATCGCAGCTGTTGATTCTGGGGATCTTAGTTCAGCTGGAAGACAGCCATCCGAGAAGTTATTTCGTGTTTTTTTTTCAACTCGGTTCACTTATTTTTCTTTATTTTTGTGAGTCTTTCTGTGTCATGTCATTTTTCACTCTTGTCTTTTCCATCATGATCTATTTCTACTGTCCAAAATTATCCAGAACAAACGTCCCTGAGAATTTGGAACCAGCTGAGAGTTTTGGCGCCGCCCCATGGTTTCCATCGACAGTGAAATTGTTGGACCGCCGTGGCGTGAAGCATATCCAATAAACATGTTTAAACAACACAATAAACACCTAGTCCTTTTTTGATTGTATGTCCTCCCAAAAGACATTAAAACTACACCAACGTGTATGCCAACAGAAATATCATCAGATGTCAGGTGTGTAACACGGTAAATATGTACCAGACCATATCATCTAAAAATACCTTTTTGTTTAAATATATAGCTATAATTTGATAAATATGAGTTTGTACATTAAAGTTTCTTCTTGTATTATCATCAGGTATCAGATGATATCAGATGTCCAGTCGTCAGGTAGCCATTCTTAACGACGAAGATTTATCCCCGGGCTCTCGCTCGGAAGCGATCGGCACCATGGAGCTGGCTGCACGACAAGTGCAGTTCCAAGCCTTAGAAAAGGCGGCGGGTTTCCGTCGGGGTTTTTGCGTGGTCAACTGGAGACCTGGCCGGAAAAAAACAGCGAAATTCATGCCGATTGAACGATGAAAACACGGCTGATTTAAACATGACTTAAATTCATTTCGAAATTCTGATGAAAGCCTATTTCACCAAGAAACATGGGGTTCATACTCATAGTTGATTTATGTTGGTTGATGACTAAGTTGATTTTCAAGTAGATGAACTGTTGGGGTTGTGGTAGATGTTAATGGTGGTTATAGATCAATAAATTGCACATGGAACAACACTTTGTTTCAGGATATCCAGAATAGAGAGAGTTAGTTTTGGTTAGTACCTTGATAACAGAAAATTGGGTAGCGGCCTCACTGTGACGTCACCATTGAAATACTGGGAATTGCAAAGGTTACGATCCCAAAAGGATTTTTGTCAGGTTGCTGAGTGAGATTTATCCAGAGATATAATAAGCGTGGATGATATGCAACAGGCTTAGAACCATCGCTTGGTTTACAATGGCCATGATCTTTCTGAGTGAGGTGCATTTGCTTGGGACATGTGTGGGAGTCCTCTTGGCCCAATGCCTAACTGGTTGGTGGTTTGGAATATTATTTTTATTTTTCCATTCATTTGGGAATTTCATCATCCCAACTGACGAAGTCATATTTTTCATAGGGGTAGGTATACCACCAACCAGATATGAAGTTGGTTACTTCTATCCCATGTTTTCCCCAACGATATCCCCATGATAACCCCAATGATAACCTGGGATTCGTTGCTAAAATTCATATCAGCCATCAGCCAAGGGTTTGAATGGGTGCAGATGCACCTGATTGCAACAAGGTAGGTGAGTTGGGGATCAATTTTATACCTAAAATCGAGATATCCATATGTATGTATATATATATATATTTATTATCATTATATTACAATATATATATATATATATTAGAATGTATATTACATTATATTACATTATATTACATTATATTACAATATATATATATTATAATATATATAATACTAATATATATATATATACATACTATATATATTATAATATATATATATATATTATAATATATATATGTATATATATGGGCCACTCAGCTCTCGCAGGCGGCACTGGATTTGCTGTTGAGTAGTCGAATTAGTCGGGCGGTTCTGCTGGCGATCATCTTGGTCTTCATTGATAGGCGCGGCTGTTGGGGGCTGTGGGGTAAACATGAAGGGTCTAAGTTTGACAGTCAGTGGATGACAACTCCAAAATGGCCCATTGATAGTTGATTTATCTATTAAAATGGTGGATCTTTCCAGTTCGTTATGTAAACGTTTACCAGAGGGTAAGTTCAAAATCCAAAAAGCTGATTTAACCATGAAAAATCCTGATTTGACAAAATGTCACCAAGAACCATGGAGCTTCATAGTTGATTTATGTTGATTTAAGCTTCGTAGTGCCTGGCGGTGCCAGGGCGGAAGTTTCGAAAAGAAAAATGGTGAGTATAAGAAATCAATGGCCTGTAGGAGTGTTTGTGAAATGCGGTTGCGCAATGAAAGATTGAGTTTGCGCGGTGCATCAACAAATGAACATGTTTTTGAGATGCCAATGAAATCACATCAAAGAGCCAGTGCATGAATGACTGAGTCAATGAACCAATGAAAGAATGTAACTAATGACAGAAAGAAAAAGAAAGATATAAAGAAAGAAACGAGCTGGTTGGTGGTTTGTTTGTTTTTTTCAATATATTGGGAATTTCATCATCCCATCTGACGAAGTCATATTTTTCAGAGGGGTAGGTATACCACCAACCAGTGAGTGAATATGTCAACCGCCAAAGTCAATGAATGACTGAGTGAACCAATGAGGGAATGAATCCAAGGGTGAATCAATCAGTGAATCGATGAGTGAATCAATGACACAACGAACGAATCACCGAATGAATTAGCCAAGTATGGGAATGTAATGGGGCTTTATAAATTTATAATGGTGGTTGGTGACAAACAATGAATGTATTTTAACATATTTTAACCATTATTAATCACCAAACCAATGTAATGTATTTTGTTCCCTTCTTCGTTAAAGTTACCCATTCCCCATTCGCCAAGTCTTCCAAGTCTTCCAAGTCTAGCCGCTGGTTGCGGATTGCTGCGGATGACATCCGCGATCTTCGGCAAATCGAATTGTCGTTACACAAGCGCTGTAGCTTCGTATAGTTGACCCCCAGTTCAGATGAGCAATTTCAAAAACTTGCTTTGTTGATTACTTGATTTGACTAGAGGATGCTATACTACAAAACATATTGGGTATCATAAAATGAAGTTTTCAACCAGTGGATTGCAGGGCTTCTTTCAAGTTTCAGACCAACACCAAATAACCCAAAATTATTTGGTGACATCTTCCATTCAATCCTCATCTTTGTTGATGAATTCACCATTTCTAGCCTAGTGGTCAAACCTTTTGAACATGTTTGAACCGAAAAAAAGGGAAGTGGTCATATCATATGAAGTTGGTTACTTATATCCCATGTTATCCCCAACATATCCCCATGAAAACCCCAATGATAACCTGGGATTCGTTGCAGGATCTGCCACTTTTGGAAGGCCGCCCAGCCCAAGAAGGCCAAGCCGCAGCGAGAAGAAACGCCACGCCTTCTTTCAGTGGCTGAATTAACGATGGTTTATGGTAGATGGATGTAGATATGGGTATGGGTCAATACCTATAGATACATTTTTAGTGGGATGAACATCCATAAATCCCAGTTATGACTTGGGGTTCACTAGGTACAAGGGTTTTGACTCATAGCCATATGTAGATATAACGAACTAGTATTCATGGGGCTTCATCCATGGTTTATAAAGCAACAAACATCACTGCGGGACACCATCCTGTAGTTTCCCAGCAAGGTTGAAACATCAACCAGTTTACCAACCAGTTTACTACCACAAATCTCTGAACGCATCCCCACTGACAACCACAAAGTGCGTATCTATGATCATCTATGAATCTATTCATGGGATTTCATGGGTCATTTGGTAGTTCACTACCAACTGGAGCTTGCAAGCATCGGCCCTCCAGCTTGGCGGAGGTTTGTTTTGTTTTGTTCTGACAAATATCATGAAACCATTGGGACTGGGTTTTGACACATAGCCATGTGAGCGGCGACCGGGGTCCTTGTTGATGAGTTATTTTAGGGAGTCGCTTGTGGATCTTGTGGTACCTGTATTGTTGTATTGTTGTGGCACAGCGCGGGACCCTTTGCAACCAACCAGTACGATCACATGATAGGGGGTTTTGAAAATGCGAATGCGCGCAGCTTCACGAATATGAAATGTTGCCCGTCCCTGACCCTTAACGACTGCATTTTGCCGGTTTATCCAAGGAAATTCGCAATCAACGTTTGAATAGTTCTCAGTTCTCCAAACACCCAATGATACAGTATTTCTTTCTTAAGGATTGCGCCACAACAATGCAACCTCTTAAGTGAATTCATTAAAAAAATGATCGGAAAATATGAGGAACAATGAGGAATATAAGGCTTGATTCAAGGGCACCATTCATACCAGTTCGAGTATGTTCAAGTGATTAACTAGAATCTGACATTTCCATACATTTCCCACTAGCCGGGGATTTCCAGAAAATGATTTTTCATTGTTCACTTACTACAGTATACATGTTGGGAACCCTGCTATGCCGCCAAACATGGCTATGACCCCGGTGTTGGTTCCGAAGCCAGAACCACCGGTGACCGATGTGACCGATGCTAGCGGTAGGTCTTGGACCAAGTAGACCTGGAAATGTCACAAGAAACGACTTCACATTTCAGCAGCTTGGCTACGGTATAAAAACATTCCTGGAAATTTGGGAGGAAATCACTCGGTACGTCGGTATGGACCGTATGGAGATATGGGGATAAACAAGTTCCCTCAAATTTAAAGGTTTACCCTCTGGTGAACTAACATAGCAATGGAAAATCACCATTTTTAATGGGAAAATCCACTATTTCTATGGCCATTTTCCATTGCTATGTTAGTTCACCAGAGGGTAGTATCAGTTTCCCCGCGACAGTATTCATGTCGGGGGTATTTTTGATGATTTTTGACCAACCCATAGAGTTACCATATGAGTTACCTATCCGAAACATCGGCTGGAGAAACAACGCCACAAAACGGAGGACTGGTTCCAACCACAAAACCAGTCATGTCGACCCAGGATTAACAAAATCTGATTGGTGGTTTCAACCATTTTTGATTTTCCCAAATATGGGATAATCCTTCCCATTGACTTTCATATTTTTCAAGATGGTTAAAACCACCAGCCAGAAATCGTGCTGTCTGAAAATTAATTAAGAGGAAAAACCACTTCAATCCAGTGCTTTGAAACATTGATTTTCCCTATTGAATACACATCCAATTGGTGGTATACCCCAATTTTTTCAGACACGCCCAACTATAAAGTCATCATTTGCTGCGAAACATGGGAACCCCATGTCCAGACAGAGACACTTGGATGTACTTTCTGTGTGATTGGTTTTAAAGCTGTTTTTTTTTTAAAAAAAAAACACCATATTCCTTTTACATTCCCATCTTACATACCATGAATTGTCATATGTCATATGTGCAATGTGCAGGGGGATGGTCGTTTCCCATGAACAAAGGGTTGCAGATCATAAGGACTCCCCAAATGACGCTGGGATGACCATAGCCCACATACGATGCAGTTTGACCATGGCACATATATCTGGGTAAATTATAACGACCTCACTGCGACCTCACTGGAATCATGGTTAATAAGGGAAATCATCCCCGTGGGGCCTTAATTCAGGTTAGTGAAATATAATAATTTACCATGAATACATGCGAACGTGCAGTATCCGGTTGTTCTTTATAGCGGTTCTATATCCCATAATATCCCAACAAAAATATCAGCATTCTATCCCATTTCAATCACCATTCTATCATCAAGAATCAATAGTTATGATATTTAGTTGGTAAGGGCTTAATTTTAAACCTTTGATGATTTACGTTTTCTTGGTAACATCTAGGCATATCCCAATTCTATCATCAGTTTCTCTTGGTTTATCACCATTTTGCGGGCCGTTTTTTCGATATTGCATGGATCTGAATCCCGCCCCCTAGAACTGGTTGGTGGTTAATTAATGCTTAATCTGATGGTTAATGATGGTTAATGATAGTTAATGTTGGTTAATGATGGTTCATAATCTGGTAGGTGGTGACTGGAACCATGGAATTTTATGACTTTCCATTCAGTTGGGAATGTCATCATCCCATTTGACGAACTCCATGATTTTTCAGAGGGGTAGGTCAACCACCAACCAGGATCATATTGAAAAATCATGAAAAAGAAGCCTAGAACGAAGAGATTCCATATAGTTCACCGTGGCTTCTCCAGAGCAATTGAATCTTCGGGGGGTCTCCGATTCATCAGCTTCATGCATCGTTACAATCCAGCAGACACAACTAGGGGATCTATCATCAAACATAGATCCGTAGCTGGTATAGCCCTATCCTATAACAATCATTACATGGATAAATGGTTGGTTATACCTGTCTATTTGATAAATATTAATTATTTTTTCGTCATCACCACAATCTATCCCCAAAAACATATGGATGTTAGATGGATCTTACTCTTGATCCCAAACTATGGATATTATAAATACATAAATAAAATAAATAAATAAATAAATAAATATATATATAAATATATATATATGTATTACACGAGGTATTTAACTATATTATGGATATTATTTTATCATTTTTATCCATATCCGGTTTACTAAGCCATGGTCATCCATGCCTTGGATGCTTTCAGGGGTACACCTCGGACGGCTCCACCTGATTTCACGATTTTTTTTTCTTCCGGGGATAGCCTCCCCAACTATCCTAGGTTTTTTGATTAATGGTGATTTAATGGGGATTTAATGAGATATAATGGGGATATAATGGGGATATAATGGGATATAGGGATTCAATGTGGATACCCTCTGGTAAACTAACATAACTGTGGAAAATCACCAGTTTTTATGGACAAATCAACTATTTCTATGGCCATGTTCAATAGCGAACTGTTAGTTTACCAGAGGGTATACTATACTATGGTGATATGATACTATGATCATATACCCCAATGATGATAATATGGTGTATACTATACCACACACACATATATAATTCATATATATATATTTACATAATATATAAATATAAACCACATATAAATGGATATAAAATAGATATCATCATCCCCAACCATGGACATTATACGATATCTTTTCTGGAATCGGATACTACATATATATATATCATAATTGAAGATATTTTCGTATGATTGATGCAGTTATATTTATTATATTCATTTTCATTCTCATATTTTGTGATTAACTACCCAACTGTTGGAGATATAACTCATAGTTATATATATATATATTCATAGTTATTCATTCATAATCATATAGTTCATTATAATTCTAGATATCATAGTTAGGATATACGATAGTTAGGATAATCATATAACATATCTATCTATCTATCTATCTGTCTATCTATCTATCTATCTATCTATCTATACTATAAATCATATAGTTCCACATATAGTTATTATTGATATATTATAAATCATGTAGTTCCATATATAGTTATTATTGATATATTATAAATCATATAGTTCCATATATAGTTATTATTGATATATTTTAAATCATATAGTTCCATATATAAATCATGTCATATACTATAAATCATATATAATTTTCTATATCCTCTGGTAATTTGTTACATAGCTATTGAAAATGGCCCATAGAAAGAGATGATTTTCCCAGCTAGAACCCTCCATTTATAAGGGATTTTCCATAGTTATGTTAGTTTACCCGAGGGTAAGTGCCATTAAATCCCATTAAATCCCAAATCCCATTAAATCCCATTAAACCACCATTTTCCTATGGTTTTCCTATGGTATATCCCATTATATGGAGAGCTTTCCAGCGGTTTTTTCGCAGTCCGAGCTGATCCACCAGAAACTTGGCCACGACTCATAGGAGGTGCCCAGGCACTTTTTCGACATTGGGAGACGGCTTTGGAAGCCAAAAAAAATGGGAAAATCATCAAAAATGATGGGAGAATTATGAAAAACATAGGGAAACCATGGTCAGTTAAATGATGGGAAACTAATTACTTTACTTCGTGTGATCCCCACCATGACATTTATACATGTTCTTACTGGCACATCTTCTGGCATTCTATCTGACATATCTTGTGACATTCTATTTGGCATTCTATCTGGCATATCTTCTGGCATATCTTCTGGCATTCTATCTGGCAAATCTTCTGGCATTCTATCTGGCATATCTTCTGGCATTCTATCTGACATATCTTCTGGCATTCTATCTGGCATTCTATCTGGCATATCTTCTGGCATATGTTCTGGCATATCTGGCATTCTATCTGGCATATCTTCTGGCATTCTATCTGGCATTCTATCTGGCATATCTTCTGGCATATCTGGCATCTGGCATATCTTCTGGCATTCTATCTGGCATTCTACCTGGCATACCTTCTGGCATTCTATCTGGCATATCTTCTGGCATTCTATCTCGCATATCTTCTGGCATTCTATCTGACATATCTTCTGGCATTCTACCTGGCATATCTTCTGTCATTCTATCTGGCCGTTGAGGTCCAGCGGTGCACACTGAGCTGGGCAGGTCCCCGGTTGAGGTCCAGCGGTGCACGCTGAGCTGGGCAGGTCCCCGGTTGAGGTCCAGCGGTGCACACTGAGCTGGGCAGCTCCCAGGTTGAGGTCCAGCGGTGCACACTGAGCTGAGAAGGTCCCAGGGTGAGGTCCAGCGGTGCACACTGAGCTGGGAAGTTGGCAAAGAGCTTGGCGAAGAGAGTTGGCAAAGAGCTTGGCCAAGAATTGGCAAGGCGGAAGTGCAGGTGGAAGTTGATGCAGACATGGTCGAGGAGAAACTAGAGGAGGAGGAGGAGGACGAGGAGGAGGAGGAGGAGGACAGCTAGCCGAGGATAGCCGAGGAGGAGAACAACTCTGATAAAATCTAACAACCCTCACCTGGCAGGTGGGGAAAAAATGATAGGAACATGATGTTTTTTCTCCAGTTAAATGATGAACACATGGGGATTTTTTTTACAGTGAAACATGGAAATTGCCGGCATCATCGTGCATCGCAGGGACGCAACATGTAGGGATTTGACAAGTCAACGATTACTGGTTGGTGGTTTGGAACATGACCTCTATTTTTACATATACCCTCTGGTTATTTAACATAGCCATGGAACATCACCATTTTTAATAGGTAAACCTCTATAAATGGGCCATTTTCCATGGCTATGTGAAATAACCAGAGGGTATTGGGAATAGTAACCCCATCTGACGAACTCATATTTTTCAGAGGGGTAGGTATACCACCCACCAGGAAAACTACGGCATCAAATTCAACCATTGAGCATTGGACATGATGGACTTGGGCATGGGTGTGTCATGCGGGCAGTCTGCCATTTTTGATAGAACATATCATAAATTCCTGAAGCAGTGAGATTTTCAGGCGGCCGGCATTTTCAGACCAAACGATTTGTCAGGAAAAATTAGGCAGAGGGTCAAACCTTTAACACATTGGGTTTGCCTGAAAATAGGCAGTAATCTATATCGTCTATATTCCCCATTCTTCCCCATTGAGATAGTTATTAACATTGCTATTTGTGGCTTTCAGACACACCCAAGTTTGTTCATTCCCAAGAGGACACCGTTTGCATAGAAGATCGTAGAAGCCAAAGCTCATTGGTCTTGCTAAATGTGCACATCATTTATAGCATGGGTGTCTCTGAAAAAGTGGTAAATGGATATGGAGAAAATGATGGTTCACCAGTGGAGTTAGGGTTGTTTCTTAAATTGTCTGGTACCAAAGCCATCTATCGGCTTAGTAATCCAACCGATAATTTTGGACGATAGCCATCCTATTTGATGCTTGTTTTCCGCCATCCAAGTCCACTTGTTTTACCGCCTATGCGTCACCAGTTATAAAGATGGTAGCGGTGTTCTAGAACATCTCTAATTCCTCCAATTATGCACGGTGGTGCCCCAGCTCATTGGCTTGGTTTATACCTCGAATATATACATACATATATACATATATATATATAACTATAACTGTTGAGTTTATGGCAGACATATCTATAGTCTTCATAAACCAACTTATGCACAGAACTGGGCAGCACCTTGTATGGAAATCATATGTTTTGACCCATCCACAACCATCCACATCATTTCCGGTGGCAGGTCTGGGCAAATTGGCCCCCTGGCCTAGCCCCCTCAAGGGCTGAAGGTCATGCGTCGTTACGTGATGCGTAGGTCGCAACGGGGAGCTGAACATCAGTTTCCTCCGAGAGGGGACTAAGGGATGAACTTGGCAGAAAACCACCTTCTGGTAGTCTGACTGTCACACTTTGAGTGGAAAATTAGCTTTGTAAAAGAAACCTTGAAAATTATCGCTCAAAATAAGCCATTTAGACCATTGCTTTGTAGCTTAAGTTACGGGTTGCGATGGACAAACAGTTCGGTGGTTTCCTGCAGAATCTCAACGAAAAAAAGCCAATGATTTGCCAATCTTGGTGTCCCATATTGGTGAGCTAAATGATGCCCCTAAAATCTGGGAGATTTTCATCGATTTTCTACATAGCCCAGTTGGCCAGTTCCCAAAAGAAATCCGGGATCATCGCTGATGGAAAATCAGCATTTTTTGAACAAGCTGAAGCAGCTGTTATAGTGCTGGTTGCTCAATAAAACAACCGCCAAGATTAAGAATAATCCAAATTGCAACTGGTTGGTGGTTTCAAACATTTTTTATTGTCCATGATATATGGGATGTCATCCTTCACATTGACTTTCATATTTTTCAAGATGGTTTGGCAACCACCAACCAGACAACATCCGACAACATAGTGTTGGTCTGTTGTGGTAGTTGATTGAAACCAGTCGTCAGGTTTTTGTGGAGATCCATCGAATCCATCGTATCTTTAAAGCACTTGTTGATGTTTCCCAGTTTTTGCGGGCGCCGTTTCAAGGGAAGCGTGATGAAATGAAAGTGGGTGTGGCTCCAAGTGAGGGTGCTTAAGAACGGAGTTGCAGTGGTCAGGAGTGGAAATTTGACCTGGACATACCTGATCATATGGTTGATGATCAACCATGGGATATAGGGCTAACCGCGCAATATAGAGATTCTGAGCGTTTCTGAGTCATAAAATCTCACCAGATGGAGACATAACCTGACTTCACAATTGCGTCTTCGATTGGATTGATTGGTTGCAGTTCTTGTGGATTTTCTACGGTGTCTGTTAACCATTCCCGTTGCTCAGCAATTTTCAACAGGAACCGCAGCCTTGACTTCAAAAAACTCTAGCTTTGAGCCACAGCCGCTGCAGGAAATTTTAAACCTGGTTCCACGCGTAGTTTTCTGGCGGTGTTTGGATTGACGTCATCGAACGTCGAAGATCATCTGAGCCTTACAGCGCCATTGGCATGCGAAGTTTCACGAAATTATGGGCAGCTTACGCACCCGGAGCCGGGGTCAAAATCCCGCCCTCAACTTGGCGCCAAAAAAACGAAGAGCAACAAATTGGCAACGTGGTAAGCCAAAAAATCCATAAAAATCACCAAAATAACCATAAAATGGATAGTATATGATAGTATAAACATGTATAAACCATCCCCCAATGGTAGGTTTATTATTGGGTTCGCCATATTATGGAATAAATGGGTGTATCATACCCTTGTTTGAGCAAGCTGGGGCTCAAAATTCCAACACATCCGCCTCGAAATTCGTCGAGATAGGGAGCCTTATGGCTCATCTTTAACATTTAAAGTGAGTCTGGTTGGTGGTTTGGAACATGGCTTTTGTTTTTCAATTCAGCTGGGAATGTCATCATCCCAACTGACTTTAACTCCATCATTTTTCAGAGGGGTTGGCTTGGTACTGTAGGTATACCACCAACCAGTGATGTTTTCAGGGTACTGAAATGACTTTTTTTGGAGGATGGTCATCGGATGGTCCTCCCATCAAACGAGTCTCTGAGAATGGGGCAAAAACGGGTAATTATACGGGTAGCGTCGCGAAAAAATAGGGAAAAAAGATGATGAAAACGATGAACAAATCCAGATTCAGGGCGCTCACTGACCCCAGCCGCTGTCCAAAATCTCCATGGAATATCTCAGTTGTCAGGTTACCAGGAACCATAGGATGGGAAAACCATAGGAAAACCATAGGAAAACCATGTTTATGCTTGATCAATTCTGATTTTAGCGAAACCGGACATAGAAATTTTCAAACAGGAGATAGCCCCCCAAAAAAGCATGCCCTTTTTATTTTTCTTTCATGTCAAAAATCGCACTATCTTCCACGGGTCAGCAATTCGGAAGATTCGAGATTTTCTGGATCCATGTTGGGGAATATCTTCTGGGAACAGCTGGAGGTTTCCTAAAATACTTCAGATTTTCCATGAGATAAACCATCATGTTAACCATCCAGCTATTGGGCTATCCCATTTATGGATATTTATGGAACGAAACCAACGATTTACCCTCTGGTAATTTAACATAGCTATTGAAAATGGCCATTTATAGTGGATTTTCCCATTAAAAATGGTGATTTTCCATAGCTATGTTAAATTACCAGAGGGTAGACCCTAAGCTGTGGACCAAGTTGACCCATGGCTCGGATGTGCGGCCATGCGCCTCAGCGTCTGTACAGATCGACCGCACTTTTACGAAACTGGCGGTTCCCGGTAGGTGGCAGCAGATTTTGGTGCGTCTGAACATAGCCTCTGGTAAACTAACATAGCTATTGAAAATGGCCTTTTATAGTGAGTTTTCCCATCAAAAATGGTGATTTTCCATAGTTACGTTAAATTACCAGAGGGTAACAAGCATCCCCAAATCAACTGCTTTGTCATCATGTTTCCTGATGAAAATTGCCACAGGTAGGGGCCTCCCAGATCAACTCAGCTGGTGTGAAGAATCCGGATGCCTTGGTCAATTTTCTTTGTAGGAAAAGTATGGAACCTGGCTGTGATGCCCATGGCATCCCACATCTGATGGTTCTGTGGGCAGTTTTCAATTTTCAACTCATTTTGAGTGCGCAGGTGATTCTAGATGCTCTAGTCATCTCTAGTCTAGGCCTTTCCTTTTGATTCCTTTTGACCAATAGGATATTGATTTTCAAAGTTTTTGGAGACCAGTTTTTTCCTGCTTTGCGATGATAAGGAGACCAGCTTATCTTGATTCACGGTTTCCCCTTCGATACGTTCATGTTTTTTCCGACTCATTTGGTGTTGTGTGGCACATTCGCACCAAAATCTGAGCGTAGCTAGGCCACAGGCAGAGTGCGGCAGCAGGAAGTCAGCTTTTGATGAGTATTTTTTCTCAAACGTTGGACTTCTCAAGGTTTTTGGGCGGTGTCCAAGGTTTCTTCGATTTCTTCGTCCTATTTTGGGAAACTTTCCACCTTTGGCGCTGCCGCACCAACGCTCTCATTTCCAATCGCTCGAGTTGGCATCAAGTCCATGCTCGGGCCACCGTGGAACCGCTCGACGAAAATGCGAGTCAGATGCTGATTTAGATCTCAAGGTGAAGCCTAGAAAGGCTTTCATTTTTCTACAGGATGGGGCGCCATAGTTGGCTCAGCTGGTTGAAATAATAACATCCAATAACTAGGCTTGATTAGGGGAATATCACATCATATACCATCTATATAACATCATGTTAAAATTCTTAAAAAGGGAATTTCATATCACATCATATAAATATCTCTATAACATCTATATCACATCATGTTTTTTTCCGGGGATTCTTTCTGGAAATCCCCCCGTTTTTGCGTTCCCAAGGTCGCCATGTAGCCCTCCGGCACCATGGTGCGGGGATTCATCGGGATGGCGGCCATCTTTTGGGCCGTGGATTTCGCCCATGAAAAATGACGGTTTTCCATAGCTATGTTAGTGGGAAATATATATATATATATCTGGTTGGTGGTGACTGGAACATTTTTTATTTTCCATAGTATATGGGATAATCCTTATCATTGACTAATATTTTTCAATATGGTTGAAACCAGCAACCAGATATATATATATATATCTACAATGTGGGGCCCCCAAGATAGCTAACTTGGGGTTCACATAACTCCAATTTCACTATGGTAAACATGGTACGCAAATAACGAACTAGTTACTGGGGCGAATCTAAACCAACTTATAACTGGGGGGCCTCACATTGTAGGTAAATTATAATATTTCACTAACCTGAATTGTTCGGCCATATTGGGATGATTTCCCTAACCATGATTCCAGTGAGGGAGAACAGTGAGGTCGTTATAATTTACCCATATATATATATATATATATGAGAACATGAATTTTATGACTTTCCCATCATATTGGGAATATCATCATCCCAACTGACGAACTAACTCTATCATTTTTCAGAGGGGTAGGTCAACCACCAACCAGTTTGCCAACCATTTCGATGGGGAAAAACAAACCAGCAACATAATGCACGGTATCTAAGATTCGCCATGATGATGTTCTGCCAAAATCAGCCCGTGGTCGGAGAATGCGTTCCCAGTGTCTGATCATGATGACTAGCACAGCAAATCTTTATACATAAATTGGGTATGGTAAACTGGTAAACGTTTTTGCTTTCAAACGCGACAATCTTTAGTTGACAGGTTATCACGCACGTGATAAAAAAGGTGGTCTCTCTATCGATTTCGTGATCAGCCAACTACTACCATGTTAATTGGTTACGTTTTGTTGGTTCGAAACCATTTTTCAGTAGGTTGAATTATTTTTTCTTGTCGATCGTCCGAAGTGGGATGACAATCCAAGCAAGATTCCCTCTGACTGGGTCATTCTTGGTTTAGTAGGTTTTACATAATATCAATCAGGTTGATGATGAATTGGAGGGTTACCCCCAAAATCGGGATAAACTAATATTTACATTATACTGTAAAATTGGTACCGCCCTATGAAGAAACGGGTTTATGAATCCTGGGTGAACATTTTGGCATGCGGAGATTTTGGATACTTTGGATGGGACAAAAGACGAACCAGCTGAAAAGTAGCCAGATTGGCCAAAAATAAACTAACCATTTGATGTTTTCCAAGGTATCTATTTGTGTTTTGTCTGCAAATTCGGTACCTCTAAATTCAGTGGTTGATCGAAAAATTTCTCCATTTTCAGACACACCCAGATATCATGTTGTTGGGTTAGTTATACCATGATATCGACATCTACTATCCCGATTAATTTAATCCCATTGTTTGGCGATAAATCCTCTTAAAGTGGATGGTTTCATGATGATTTACTAACAATTCACCATGTTTATATACATATCATATATACAGATATGATATAATTACAATATATATATATATTTACAGATATACAGATATACAGATATATACATATATATATATATATATATGTACATATACAGATATACATATATATATATATACATACATATATACATATATGCAGTATTTACCCATCAAGTGGGGATGAAGTTCTCCTCATGACCAGATTCGCCCTTTTTGCGAAGCCAAAAAAGTCAGGCCTACACCCATGACACCGCCACGCACCCCGCTGAAACCGTTGCAGTTCTGTGAGTTTGGGAGGCCCAGTGGACACTTGGAGGGACCGGGAGTTGTTTTTTTTTTGTTCGAAAATCCCAATCAAAAATGGATGACTGGGGTTACCCCCATGACTTAGGAAACCTCCATTTTTTGAGCAAAAGGTTTTCATCAAGAAAAAACAGGCTAATATTTTATATGCTGATGATTGGAGAGTGATTGGAGAATGATTGGATGAGAATTGGATCCCAGATAAGAATTGGATTTAATGGATGACAAAAATTGGATCATGAAAAGGGTGAATCATTTAACCTCCAGTCGGTAATCAAACGTGGCTGGCTAGAAAATCCCCGAACAAAATGGAGGTTTATAGCTGGGAAGACGCGATATATATATATATAAAATATAAATGGGGATTTTCCATAGCTATGTTGGTGTACCAGAGAGTACTGCACCAAAATTATCGAAAATTGGGATTTCCCCAAGAAACAAATTGGATATAATTAATATGATACCAGTAGTACCGCACAAGCCGGTGGCGGAAGTTTCAAAAATAGGAAACCTATAGGAGAGGTTGGTTGTTGTGAATCAGGGATGGCAGAGCAAAGCCACTGATGGACCAAAAGGTGCTTGAGGTCTCCTCTCTTTCTCTCTCTTTCTCTGACTATCTACCTACCTACCTACCTATCTATCTATCTATGTATCTATTTATCTATCGATCTATCTCTCTCTCTCTCTTCCATCTAATTACCTATCTATCTTATCTATCCATCTATCTATCTATCTGTCTGTCTGTCTGTCTATCTATCTCTCTCTCTCTCTCTCTTTCATCTGTCTATCTGTCTAGCTGTCTACCTGTCTATCTGTCTATCTATCTATCTATCTATCTGTCTATCTGTCTACCTGTCTATCTGTGGTGCAGTGTCATTCAGTGTAATGTAGTGTAGTGTAATGTAGTGTAGTTTAGTGGAGTGTAGTGGAATGTAGTGTAGTGTAGTGTAATGTAGTGTAGTGTAGTGTAATTTAGTGTAGTGGAGTGTAGTGGAGTGTAGTTGTAGTTGTAGTTGTGGTGTAGTGTAGTGTAAATGTTGTAGTGGAAGTGTAGGTAATGTAGTGTAGTGTAGTGTAGTGGTAATAGTGTAGTGTAGTGTGTAGTGGAGTAGTGTAGTTGTAGTTGTAGTTGTAGTGTAGTGGAGTGTAGTGTAATGTAATGTAGTGAAGTGTAGTGGAAGGTAGTGTAGTGTAGTGTAATGTAGTGTAGTGGAGTGTAGTGTAATGTAGTGTAGTGTAGTGTAATTTAGTCTAGTGGAGTGTAGTTGTGTAGTTGTAGTTGTAGTGTAGTGGAGTGTAGTTGTGTAGTTGTGTAGTTGTAGTTGTAGTGCTGTGGAGTGTAGTGTAGTGTAATGTAGTGTAGCGTAGTGTAGTGGAGTGTAGTGTAGTGTAATGTAGTGTAGTGAAGCGAAGCGAAGCGACATCTGAGCCTCCAAAAGTGGTCCGAACCCCTAGTGTTTTTAACATTTTGACTTCCAAATGTGCTTCGCGCCACAACGGCGTGCACTTTTCTCACATCTCAACTTCCAAAAGTCGTCCGACACTGAGGTGTTTTGTACATTTTGACTTCGAAATGTGCTTCGCGCCACAACGGCGTGCACTTTTTCGACATCTCAACTTCCAAAAGTGGTCCGAACATGTCCGAACGTGGTGTGCTTTGTACATTTTGACTTGGAAATGTGCTTCGCGCCACAACGGCGTACACTTTTTCGACATCTGAACTTCCAGAAGTGGTCCGAGAATGGTGTGTTTTGTACATTTTGACTTGGAAATGTGCTTCGCGCCACAACGGCGTGCACTTTTTCAACATCTCAACTGCCAAAAGTGGTCCGAACCTGGTGTGTTTTGTACATTTTGACTTGCAAATGTGCTTCGCGCCACAACGGCGTGCAATTTTTCATCTCTCATCTGGCCAGCTGGCTCCGCACCCACCGCTTTAGCGAGCCTACCTTTCGACCCTCCGGAGCCCCAAATCAGTGGAAAAACACAGTGTTTCGCGACTTTCCTACCTTTTCGCGCATCTGCATCTTCTTTCTTCTTTCTCTTCTTTCTTCTAATCTTTCTCTTCTCTCTGCCTCTTCCCTGCTCTGCTTTTCATCTGCCCATATTGTCGGAAGTTTGACTTCTAAACTTCCTTCGATAAGGGGATACAGCTGACCAAACCAGCTAACGTCAGATGTGGAATGGACCGGAAGTTCCAAGACGAGTGGGTTCAAGGATCCTAGTGACTAACATGCTTGGTGATCATGTAAGAGGTGGTGCTCCGTCTAATGATAGATATGTCCACCATAAGCCCTAGTTAACCTAGTTATAAGCCAATATTGCTATAAACAGTATAGTTGGCGGATGGTTTTGAAATATTTCCTTGCCGGACATGTATTCAACCCTCCCCTGGACTGCTGATCCCGATTTTTTTCATTATGTTTGGAGTGGATCGAAACACCGACACACTCGAAGTACCTATTTAAATTGGTTCAAGTACTGAATCTATGAGGTAAAATGCTAACTATTATGGGTAAATGGAGTGTCTAGGTAGCATCAACTTTCTTCTGTTCATGTGTTTATTTTGATCAGCAAGTTCACCACCAAAGAATCCCTTAAAAATTTCGAACCATGAAGCCCTAGTACGAACCTGGTAAGCTCCTATTGTTACCATGAAATACAACGGGGGTTTATACAATTCCTAAGCTACACTATTCAAATTAGATAAAATTAGAGTGAATCATCATAAAAAATAGTTCGGTGGCCTTTTTTGTTATCCAATAGGTTAACATTATTAACAACCATTGGTGAATAATCATTACCCTCTGGTAAACTAACATAGCTATGGAAAATCACCATTTTCAATCGCTAAATCCACTATAAATCACCATTTTCAATAGTTATGTAAGAAATTACCAGAGGGTAGGAACTCTGGAACTGCCCATGAATAGTCCGCAACACATTTGACCCGCTGAGGTACAGTGATCGGTTGATCCCAAGCAGGGCTGGATCCAATATGGAGCGGAGGGGGTGGGGGGTCGGAGCCGAGTAAACATGTTCTTTTTTTCATAGGGTAGAAACTTGGCTGTTCAACACACGTTATGGTTTAATATGGCTGTATATGGTTTTAATAGGGACAATCATGGGAGAAGAATGGGATAAATGGAATAATGTGGTTAAAGCAATGTCATAAACCATCCCCCAGTCATCACCATTTTTATTGGGTGGTATAAACCATCCAAAAATGGGGTGGTTTATGACCTTGTTTCAACCACATGAATCATGGGATCATGGATTTACCCCGATCCTTCGATGGCACCCTGGGGGAAATCCGCAGCCAAGTTGGTGAAGCCTGACACTGTTGGGTTTATGGTAGATATATCGCCATGCAACAGGAAGCGATAAGAATTGGAGGTACCTACCATAAGGCCTATTTTTCAGGCCTAAGGGAATATCCCCACAAAATATGGCCTTGTATGGTACAGTACCTCCAATTTAGGATCCTGGAATTCCCATTGAATATATCGAACTAGCTTTGCTGGGGTTATAAACCAGCACATTTAGAGGCCCTTGTATTATTGCCGTGTTTTTGATATGTTTGGGTATATGTTCATAGCACCCCAACAACATGGATAAATCTACAAACATGCAATGTTCATCCATTTTCTGCAATCCCATCAATTATTAAACACCCCAATTGCATGGTCCCAATGGAATGTGGAAATTCCCAACAAAAAACCAGGGTTTCGTTGAACGGCGGGTGTTTAATATGAAGGGAAGGGATTATGTGAATTTACTGGAGGCCAATCTGAGTTTTACCATGGAATATTTCACCGACCTTCCAGTACCACCTCTCAAGGCCGAAGCTTTTCTGCAGGCTTTGCTGTTGGAAAAGATTCATCCTGCGTTTCTTTTTTTGGTAACACTATAGGAATGTGGAATCCGGCATATTTACATTTCTGGTTGGTGGTTTGGAACATTTTTTATTTTTCCATATATTGGGAATTTCATCATCCCAACTGACGAACTCATATTTTTCGGAGGGGTAGGTCAACCACCAGCCAGTATTTACTCTATATACTGCGATCCAAATGCAGGAATTTTGCCAGGTTTGCGTTTTTTTTTGTGTAAAAACAGAGCAAGTACCTTTTTTTTTGGGAGATTTTGCCAACGAAATTGCGGTTGGTTCACCAAAATTTCATTTCGTCTTGAAGGCCAAATCCCTTGCCTCGAATGCCCATGTTTTGGGGTCCCAGTGTTAATAAGTTAAAGGTGGTCGGGATTACATCCAAAATCCTGGTCAGTTCCAAGTTGATTTGCTTTGAGATTTTGGAAGTTTACGGGATCCCCTCAATCATACGCACTCTTTTTGGGGGTTTTAATAAAATTGCAATAGTACTTAGCTGTTTCGTCACGCCCCCCGTTCTGGCACTCAGCACTCGCGTGCCAGCACTCGCGTGCTCAGCACTCGCGTGCTCAGCACTCGCGTGCTCGGCACTCACTCCAATGCATTTTTCCGGGTGTGCATCCTAGTAGATATGTTTATCCCTATTTAGATAGGCTTTTATTGGAATAGGAAAAATGCATTGGAGTGACGATAAGCATGAGATATCATGAGATACTCATCATATTCACGAGAGCCACACGAGTACCTCCAAGTGGCGTTGATTTTTTCAACACCCTGAAAGAATTTACCCTTTTGGAGGAAACGGGGAAACCCCAGATGCTTTCTTTGGGAAGCGCAAAATGCATCCGGACGTCAGGCAGAAATTCGCACGTTACTTACCGGATGCTTTTTTCACAGAAAAGTAAATGCACCAAGGTGAATAGGATAATAAAGCCCAATGCGTTTCGAACTTGCAATTTACTAGCCCTTTAAGGTCTTTTTTTTCGGATCTAGTTAAATGCATTTACATATATCACAATAAAAACGCAATATGTGATGAACCTGCGTGCTAGCACTCAGCGTTGTGCATGCTGCGTGCTGGAGTTGCTAATTAAGTGGTTAATAAACCCTCTACAATTTGATTAATTCCTTAAATCGTTTTGGGTTTTTAACCATATTGGTCAGATATAGAACCTGTCAACAAGGCCTCAATTTGTGCGGGGGATACTCGGTGCCAAGCTTAAAGTTGGGGGTATGATATACAACCAGATTTATAGGGGGCCCCAGGGGCCCCAACTGATGGTGAAAATCTATACCCATCTTCCGTCACCACTGCGCCCCCCACAAAGTTTTTCATCAACTCTGAATCTCTATATTTCTTGGTTAAACTATCCTTTTCATGGCGATTTATCACCACCGAGCACCTTGTCTCCACATCAACAAGGAGACAGGCTTCGACTTGCTGACCGAAAATCACGGGCCTCGTAAAGTTCCTGGCCATTTCCAAGGTGTGGTTGTGCCGACCCTGCGAATGAAACTGCAAACGTAGGTGGTTTACGCTTTGCTGATCGATCATGGCATCTGATATTTTTCTATGTTCATGTGTTTCTGGATGATTATCATACGAAAGATATCGACATAAAATTGGACACAGCAACAAGATGTGGCTTTTGAGCATCAAACCACAAGGATTCGACACGATGTAACGTGAAATTTTTGTAGATCCATGAGGAAAACCGATGAATTTACCTGGTCTAAACACAGATGGCAACGGAATCTCCTGTTTTTTGGTACCCTCTGGTAATTAAACATAGCCATGGTAAATAGCCAATTTATAGATGATTTTCCCATTGAAACCTCCATTTATTAGGGATTTTCCATGGCTATGTTAAATAACCAGATGGCAAATCATCTACAGGGTTGCTCTAACCCATTATAGTTTTACGGCAAATGATAGCCACAACGGGAGGAACTTTGTCATTGAAGACTTCTGTATCAAACCAGTTTCCCGCCTTTGTATCTCGAGTGTCGGGAGCAATCCTCATGCTGATACTGTAACTTACCCTCTGGTAATTTAACATAGTGATAGTTAATGGTGATTAATGGTGATTCATGATAGTTAATGGGATTCATCCTCTGGTAATTTGTAACAGTTCGTCATTGAAAATGACCATTTAGTTCGTTGATTTACCCATTCAAAATGACGATTTCCCATAGCAAACTGTTAGTTTACCAGAGGGTATAAGTAGAGTAAGAATCGATTCTGACCAATTTTTGATCCAGCATCCTATTAGTGATTGCTAAGTTTATGATGCAGAATGCTTCATTTTACGGGAAACCAGATTGATCCATAATAGAACAATAACAAACATGGATTCCTAATAGTAATGGTGATACATATTTTGGGTCATTCTCCATATTATGGGTTATTCTCCAGTGTTCTATAACATTCATTTCCATATTAATGGGTCTTTCTCCATATATTGTCTGGTTGGTGGTTTCAAACACGGCTTTTATTTTCCTTGATATATGGGATGCCATCCTTCCCTTTGACAAAGTCATATTTTTCAAGATGGTTTTTCAACCACCAACCAGATGTTTTTTGGGGATATACTTACCTGGTTTACTGGGTATTGGATCCCCACTTTGCCTAATACAAACTAGTTTTTTTCCCCTATAGTTAATTCATTGCTGGGGATTATACTACCAACCAGGTGAACAGTGGCCCATTTTATGAGGAAACTCATCGCAGACCGCGGCTTCCACCAAGGAGGCGACCCCTCGGCCTTCGCACGCTTGCTGCGGAACGAGTTGTTGCTTGGCCTTCGCACGATGTGGATGGAAGGCGTTCAACCCCCTGGATGAAAAATCAGGATGAAATATGGAGATTAAAGGATTCAATGATCATTTTTTAGGGTTTTTAACCACCAAAATAAGGGAAATATAGTTGATAAATGGTGGTTGCTTGATGATAGGGGGGTTAAACTAGCAAACTGTTGGCGATGATCATAAGTTAACCTGTTGGTAAATCCTAGTAGCCAAGCTTTTTAAAGGAACGACAGAAGGTTTTACATAAGCACTGCGCAAATGATGTAGTGGATTTAGCTAGGAAAAAGGTGTGTTATCCATTTAAATTTAAAGTTCTAGATTATACAACCAGCAATCACATGGATTTGTTTCAGTCAAAATGATGTAATCTGCCAGCTGCCAAACACAAAGCACCAGTTGGGGATGGTGTTTTCCATGTGTGTACCAACCATTTCCAGTAAAATTGTAGACGGTTTATTCTCCGGCTAATCACAGAAAAACTTTTAGGATGCCGGATTGATAATAAATAAAGGATGGGATTGTAAGCATCACAGGGACAAATTCAACTGATTTAAGCACTGAATGGTGGGATCTACAACGCCACTTAAACCATCCTCAATTTGTGGTTTATGTTTGGGTATAGCCTAGTATAGCCTTACTTGAGATGATTTTTTTAATCGCCCCCCAAAAGGCTTGACAATCATTGTCAGATTGGGGGATGGGAATGATGGCATTGTGGATCATGAAATACTCTTATCAGATTTGCTGTAAATGATCATGAGATATCTTATCAGATCTTCAAATGATTTGGGGGATGGGAATGATGGGATAGAATTATCCATATCTATTTGGCGAATGATTTGTCTAATTCCATCCTGATGATATTAAGAATATCAGCAATTTTATGAGGACTCCAACATGAAAGATCCCGTGTGAAACAAGGGGTTCTTGAGGAGGTATTGAATATTAGGGTGAAGGGGTTAATTGAATTAGGATTTCATTGGTGAATGTAACAGAAATGTCCTTGATCGTTGTTTACACTCGGTAGAGTGTACGGTCATTTCTCTGGCTCGAAAGATAAATCGATGCTCTTGAAGGGCAGTTTGGGATTTGATGCTGGTTGGTGGTTTGAAGCATTTTTTATTTTCCATCTATGGGATGTCATCCGAAACCCATTGACGAACTCATATTTTTCAGAGGTCTTGGTCAACCACCAACATCACCAACCAGTGATGTTTTGGAAGAGCAAAACAAAACCGGCGATGCTCCATTCCAGGACTTCCAGGACTCACCAATCCAAAGTACCAATCCAAAGCACCAGTCGACCATTGGTTGGCCAATCCACCAATGTGATCAATGATCTCGGGTATCTCGATGAAAGTGGCCTCTTTTCCAATGAGAAAAAAAAACATCTTGGAGGGATTGTGACCCGTGAAATCTCGATGAAAATCATGAAATTTCGAAATCTTCCATGAAATCTTTGAAGTTTCCTCCAGTCCTACGAGGTTGGGCTTGGCTTCCCCTGGACCCAGCGACAGGCGCCGGGTCCTGGAGTGCTTTCAGTGCATTTGAGTGGCAGATACACTCAAGGTGGTGCCCCGGAATTGGCTAATTAGCTAGCTTTTCAGAAGTAGATGAGAGAAGTTGTTTTCTATAGACTATAGATATTACTATTTATCTAGATGATTTCATAGATAACCAACAAACATCAACAAACATAACTGTGGGGGGCAGCACCTTGTAGAATGGAGCCATGCTATGACGCTGGACCTTGAGAGTCTTATGTCTCATCCCTTCATCTCATCATGTTTCTGGGGTGTGCTTTTCGGTGGAGACCTGTTGCAGGAAATGGACAGCTAGTTTGGTATGTTTTTATGTTGCTTTTCAACGTCTGTGGGGTTTCCTGTAAATTTTCATACAACTATACTTCGCACAGAGAGATGCAGCAAATTTCGCCGCAGGGAGGAGCTACGCACTCCAGAGCGAGGTCTTTTTCGCTACAAGAGTCAACCAGAGGACGCAGCTGGTTTTCGGTAAGATAGGGATTTTTGCCTTATGGCTTGAAGCAATGAGCAGTTCGAATTTGGATGTGCAGAAATGGAAATGGAGAAGCGTCTTCTACTGTGAGATATTGTGAGATCCGACTGTGAACTACTTGCGATTGGGACGTCCAAACGCCCAGGTCCTCGGGGGAGGATCTTTTTTTAAAGATGGGGACATTGCTGATATTTGAAGCATGGCGATTCTTCCAATGCACCTGGGTTGATGTTTTCAATGATGTTTCATTTTGTTGGCACGGATGATTTGAATTGATTGGCAGATTTTTGGGAGGGTTGAAACCACCAGTTCTGTTCGTAGAGGTGTGAATTGGTCAGGTGCCGAGCACTTGATTTTCCCGAGCAACAGAACGTTTGGGCGGATTTTTGGGGTCCTGATTTTGGTGGCATCCCCTTTGAAGATTGGTTACGTGTTGTTTGCTGTGCTTCAGGTAGGTGAAATATATAGTGAACTATTGCAATTGAATGCAAGTTAGCCATATATATATATCATATATATCATATATATATATATCATATATATCATATATATCATATATATCATATATATCATATATATCATATATATCATATATATCATATATATATATGATATATATATATATATCATATGTATGATATATATATATATATATCATATATATATATATATATCATATCAATCTCCGAATTTGGAAAGCTCCCCGAATTGGATGAAAGGAACATCTACAGGAAGCCTCTATTTAAGATGGTAAACATCTACAGGTTTCCATTGAAACTCCAACTCCCATGGTTGATCATTCACCAAGTCGGCAGGAGATGGAGACATCCGCTCTTCTGAGTGTAAGTACTTGCATGGAAACACCCTGCAAGGTGGGCTGTGATCATTTGGGCTCGAAAAAATGTGGGCTGATCCATTCCTTCTGGGATTTTTTAGGGATGTGATGTGGACAAGTAGAAAGAGTTTTTTTTTTTGTACGGTGATCATTCTGATTTCAGTGCATGGACAGGGATTGAGAATTGAAGCTGTGTGGGTACGTCAAAACTTCCTTAACATCAAAATAGCTCGCACACGATTCTCCATCTTCCACATATACTATCATTGGGTTTGGACATGTTTGGCTCCATCCCCACATTGATGTGGCCTGTTCATCCTGTTCCCTGCGGCCTTACATCTATCTTGGTCTGTCTCTTGAGTGTGTGAACTTGCAATATGGGGAGCCATTAAAAATACCCCTGCGCTATCCCATCTCATGAAATACTACTTGGTTGATAGGTTTCCTTACTATGGCTTATATATCATAATCCCAATAAGCCAGGTATTAACTTAATTCCCTATATTTCAGAACCAATCAACCAAGGTATCTTGAAAATAGCTCATAGCTCATCCCTACACTGGCCAGGTAGCGCGGCGCTTCCCCGCTGCTCCCTACAAGGTGTCAGGGGTGAGAAGCCAGGTCTGCTGAAGCCATAACTCTGGTTCGTGAAGGGGATTTACCCTCTGGCCAACTGTTACATAACTATGGAAAATCATCATTTTCAATGGGTAAATCCACTATTTATATGGCCATTTTCAATAGCAAACTGTTACAAATTACCAGAGGGTATATCCCAATGGGTCAACACAGAAACATTTCTAGTGATTATGATGAAACATACGTGGGATATATATATATATAAATTATACGTGGTATATATATATATATATATATTATAGATATTCATAATTTGGGATGTTAGCAACATGTATGTTTTTCCCCCAAACGTGTCCAGTGTTTCGCGACTTTCCTACCTTTTCGCGCATCTGCATCTTCTTTCTTCTGACTCTTTCTCTTCTGATCTTCTCTCTTCTAATCTTTCTCTTCTCTCTGCCTCTTCCCTGCTCTGCTTTTCATCTGTCCATATTGTCGGAAGTTTGACTTCTAAACTTCCTTCGATAATTATTAATTATGTATGTATAATATATATATATATATATATATATGTATGGAGATCTTGAGATCTTGACCAAGGTATTGTAGAGGTCCTTGTGAGAGAGCTGTTGTGTAGATCCTGATGAAATCCTGTAAGAGGTCCGTGCACGATCTTGTGCAGACTTATGAGAAGATCTCGTGGTGAAGATCCTGCTGACATCCTGCAAGTCTTGCATGATCTTGCACAGGTCCTTGTGTGGAAGATATTGTGGAGATGCTGGTGAAGTCCTTTCTAAGAGGTGCTTGCATGACCCTGTACAGGCCCTTTAACTTTACGCAGAAGATCTTGTGGTGATCCTGGTCAGGTCCTCTCTGAGAGGTCCTTGCATGAAGATCTTGCAGATGCCATGTATTAGAGGTGCTTGTATGAAAGCTCTTGTGGGAGGCTTTTGGGAGGTTCTTGTATCAAGATCCTCTCCAGCAGCAGCAAGTTCTCTTTATAACGATCTTGTGAAATTCTCTTCGGGGTCCTCGCATGAAAATCGTGGCCAATGGTGGCCAAGGTCTTTTACAAGTCATTGTGAGAAGATCTTGTAGAGATCCTGGTGAAATCCTCTAAGAGGTCCTTGCAGTGCATGATCTTGTACAGGTCCTTGTGAGAAGATCTTGTGAAGATCCTGTTGACATCCTCCTTGCGAGGTCCTTGCATTAAGACTCTTGAAGATGATGTGCGTTGGTGGTTGTATGAAAGTTCTTCTGGGATGCTCATAGCAAGTTCTTGTATGAAGATTTCGAAGATCCTCTATTTGGACGGTCCTTCTTTGACAATCTTTTGAATTTCTCTTAGATGTCCTTGTATGGGGTTCTGGTATGATGAGTAGACATAGCGCTGCTTCTTGTGCCAAAACAAGCTCCTGCTGCTGCAGTTACGACATTGCCTAACCTCATCCGTTACTGTTCCATAGCTACTGTTGCTTGTATCTGGTACATTGACTTCCTACCCTTCATCATTCTATCCCCTTACTTGTAGTACTGTGATTTAGGGATGGATCAAACGCCCTTGGTTTTTCCATAAATTTTGAAGGGATGAACATCCAGAACTACCAGCGATGTTGTTGTGAACAGAAGGGTGCCACGATTTTGACCCATACCCGTTTCAGCAACATTGATGGGATTCCAACAAAAATAGGTAGTTCACGAACCGACCTGCGGATGTTTAGCAGCACGAATGAGGGAGTGGACTTGCACAAACGGAGGATTCAATCATTCAAACTTGATTTTGTTAGCCAAACAAATAGGGATGTGATGTGATTTGCAAAACAAGGTGAGGCAACCCGAAATTGATGGCAGTTTTGGGCTATTGCCCGCCTGTGTTGTAGGCGGGGTGTTTGTTTTTCCAACAATCAAAACATGATGGGTACAGCAGCAACAAGAATGACAAAATTATTAACCTGCGCTTATGGGACTATGTGTACCACGTGTACCACTTGTGTACAGACAACAAAAAAGGCTAGACAGAGACGCCTGTGGATGAAGGAAGCAATTTTTCATCATTTTTTGGGTTTGCTGCCTTTGCAACATGACAAGTAAAAACATTCCAAATACTGGGCGAGACACGTCATTTTGAAGGTTACCTGAGTTTGGAGCAGGCGTGTTGCCTGTGAAACGTGTTCCAGCAACCCAATGTCTTTTCGATCATTCATGGTGTCAGGTGCTGTCAGCCCCAGGTTTGGAGGCGCGCCGTTTTCCACCGGGGAGGAGGGCAACGGCACCTGTGGGGTTTTTTACGTATACACTGGAGTAGTTACATTATGTGCAACCTCGACACGTGAGGTTTACATTGTGGTAACATCTTGGTGTTGTTTCCATGTGACCCGTTCGACAATTGCCTTCTGGAACCCGAGTAACTCGGAAGAATTTTGACCCAGATTCCAGACCACCAACGTCCCCATCAAATCGTTGGAGGTATGGAAGAATTTGCCCCAATACGTCTCCAAGGTATATTATCGATGACTCCATAGGTATCCATAGGTTATAATATTATATATATATGCAGATGTATAAGGGTTGCAAGTAAGGGTGGGATGGGGAATGGTAAGCGTCAATTTTTTGGGTCAATATGTTGATCTAGGCTGAGATTGCTTAATCGTTGGTCGTTGCACAACCGCCGAATTGTGCCTCTGAACCCAAACATAGAAACCGAACAATCACCGCTGAAAAATATAGTTCTACTTGTGTCTTGCAACTTTAGGTTCCATCTATGATTGGCGTCAGTATCGATCTGAATTGTATTGGATTAAATTTCCAACCCTTACCCTCTGGTAAACTGTTACATAACTCTGGAAAACCACCATTTTTGATGGGTAAATCAACGAACTTTCTATGGGCCATTTTCTATGTCGCAGCTCCTCTGGTAAACTGTCAGGTTGCGACTCGCAACCTGACAGTTTACCAGAGGATGAATACCATTAATTATCATGAATCACCATTATATAATCACAATCAACATTAGTTTGATAATATAACCATTATATATTGATTATATATTAACATTGATTATATCACCTATAATCACCACAACATTGTTGAATCACCATTACTGGTTGGTGGTTTGGAACGTGAATTTGATTTTTCCATATTTTGGGAAGTTCATCATCCCATTTGACGAACTCCATGATTTTTTCAGACGGGGTAGAAACTCAACCACCAACCAGTAGAGGATGTCTGAACATCATTTTAGTAGGATATTTTCCCATGGAAATAAACTAAACCATCCCAAGCTCGCTTGGGATATCCCCATGGCCATGGGTTTACCCCATGGGTTTACCCCATATCTTCAAGGTGGTGCCCCCCAAGTTATAAGTTGGTTTATAAACACCAGTAACTATAACTATAGTTATTTGCGTACCATAAACCATAGTTATTGGAGTTATGTGAACCCCAACTTAGCTATCGAACGGGGGCACCACTTTGTTTCTGTTGGAAAAACCACAAGGGGTTAACTGATCCCGAGGGGATCCCTGCAGGACGACTATTACCTGAATCTCTTGGATTGGTCTTCAGAGGATCAGTTGGCTGTGGGTGGTGAAGCCCGGCTGGGCCGGTGGTACATGGAAAACCATGGAAAAACCATGGCAAAGCATGGAACAACCATGGAAAAATAGGGGAAAACCATGGTAAATTGGCTTAAACATAGGGGAAAACCCCATGGAAAACCCCATGGATTGTCATCATTTTCCCGAGATCAACAGTTTTTTTGGGGGAGTATACTCCCATTTTCAGATACATCCACATGTTGGCAAGTGGATGCTGGACGTTGAATGATAGAATGAGGAATTTAGCAAACAAAAATACATCATTGAGAATTGTTACAGCCAAAGAAATGGTTCTTCAAACAATCGGACAAAAAACCTTTGGCCGTTCTTTGGCCTTGTCTTGGGATCAATGAGAGATATCATTGGAAAGTACCCCAAAAACATGACAATGGCACGAACATGACACATATATGATGTATACATATATATATATACACATAATTATAATATATAAATATATGTTATATAATCCCCTCAAGTACTTAGAGTCTGGAATGGGTAGGCCTCCAGGACTCCTGTAGCTACTGTAGGTCTTTTATACTTTAAGACCCAAAGTAGACCCTGCCAATTATGCGTATTCCAAACCCTGTGCTGCCCATGTTAACATGGTTTATGTTCCCGAATGGAAGCCTAAAATGGTTCCCGAAATGGAAACCTAAAAATGTCGAAAAATTGGTTTGCGAAATGGACACCAAATTGTCTAAACATTGCTTCCCGAAATGGAAGCCTAAAATGTATTAAAATGTCCAAAGAATGGGCTTGCTGCTTCCTTTGATTGAAAGGTTTACGTAACATGATCCCATTCAAGACCCCATGCTAGACCTTCATGGTAATCTAAGCATTTCAGGGCAGACCTTGCCGTCCACAAATAGCAAAAGGTCTATAGTTAACACGAAGATCACATGAAACCCTAGTTAACTCCTAAAAAGACCTGGGTTTTAGGGTCTGACATGTGAAATTCCAAGGTCCCTGCCAAGTAGCTAGCTGTAGCCACCACCAGCAGTCCCTTGCCCTTGGTTTAGTCCTCGCCTCACTTCATTTATTTGGGGTCCTATTTTTTTCAGGAGGGTCTCTTTTTTGTAAGGCGACAGGCAGATCAGATATAGTGATTGTACAAAAATTTGGTAGTTGGAATTCATTTTACTTGGATCCTTGGATCATTCCATTTGGTAATTGGTTTCTGAGTAGATGTAAGTAGGGATGATCCTCGCCACTCGAAAAAACCACTGTGGGATGATCCTCCCCAAAGCTACGGATCTTTGATGGAGGTGCCCCCAAATAGATATAAAAAACAGATTGATGATAATTGATGTAAATTGCTGAACAGTATTTTGGGATTTTACTTTTTTTTTTGGGTGTTGCCATACCGGTACCTCTTCAACACAGGATTTGGAAGATCGCAGGATCGAGCAGTGTTCAAGACCATCGTCCAGCTGGAATGTCTATCAACTTCCCGCAGTATACCTGGACCACATTTCGGGTTACAATGTTTCAATTTCCAGGTGAAAAAACAACTAACTCGCGGTCCCAAAATGGCTTTGGAGGATTATGTTCTGAATTTTCAATAAGAAGTGGCATTTTTTGGTCTCTCTCTGATATTCTGATAAAAATCGAAAAATCAAGTGGATAGCAGGGAGCCAACTAAGGAGCTATGGGTATCCATGTTCCCTTTTTTTCATGGGGAGCCAAGGAGCTACAATCAGAGTTTTGCAAGCACATGATAGCGCTGCCAACGTTGGGACTTGCAGGATCTAGCGGAATATCTTACGAATAGCAAGTGGTTAGTAGCTGGGGTTTTAATCCATTTACCCTCTGGTAAATTAACAGTTGGACCCTGAAAATAACAAATTTTTAATGGAAACTAGTCTTCCAACCCCGACAACTGCCAGGGTCAACCTGTTAATTTACTGTAGGGTATAAATGGGACAATTCACTTGGGTGACTTACTTTTTCTACAGGATGGTGCCCAGCTCTGTTTGTTGCTTTACAAACCATGAATTAACTCCCATTATATGACTAGTTCGTTATATCTACCAAAATCCATAGTTAATTCAGCCACTGAAATAAGGCAACCGAACGCTATTTTGATCCATTTACTTACTGGTGCTAAACGTAGGGAATTTTCGGGAATGATCCACTGGCTAACTATTACTAATAATCCCAGCAACCCCCAGCAACTCATCCATTCCCTACCTTTAGCACCAGTAAGTTTATCTGGTTGGTGGTTTCAAACATGTTTTATTTTCCAATTCATATATGGGATGTCATCCTTCCCATTGACGAACTCGATCATTTTTAAGATGGTTTTTCAAAAAACACCACCAACCATTTATAACCATATATACTAACCATAATTCAGTGAGTTTTCCCATTAAAACTGGTGATTTTGCTGATTTTCCCATGAAAAATAGTGAGTTTTCCCATGAAAAATGGTGATTTTCCCATAGCAAATGGCCATCTGTTTGAATGGGAGAATCCATGTCCTCCTTGCCAGTCTCCCAGTCTCCAAGGCCTGGGTCGCGATGTGGATCTCTGGAACGCCTCGACAGGTCCAGCACGCCACGCGGGTCATGGAACAGCCTCTGGTGAACGTAGAAAAAAACGATGGAAAATCAGCAAAATCACCATGCTATTCATGGGAAAATCACCATTTTTCATGGGAAATCAGCTATGTATAGCCATGCTATTCATGGAAAACTATGGAAAACTATGGAAATGTATCAACTATGGAAAAACTATGGAAAACTGTATGGAAAACACTATGGAAAATCACCATGCTATTCATGGGAAAACTCACTATTTCGACTGGGCCATGTTCAATAGCAAACTGTATAGCTATGTAACATTATGTAACAAATTACCAGAGGGCATCATCACCATCATCATCATTTCAAATTCATGTCCATGATGTATTTTGACTATAGGTAAATGTTAAATGAGCATAAATCATCCAGAAATGGGCAATTTGCCACAGCTATGTTGAATAGCCAGAGGGGACGTTTTTGAAGGATCCTTCTTTTTTTACTTATACAGATATACCCATTTGTGTTGACTCAACAATAATATATCCATTCTTACTGATTGACACCACTTGTTTGTTAGTTGACCTGGATTCATGCACGGATCGAATAGAAAACATTCCACCAGGGTTTTGTTTGGGTCGTATTTAGGATTACCCTCTGGTAAACTAACATAGCTATGGAAAATCACCATTTTTAGTGGGAAAATCCACTATTTCAATGGCCATTTCAATAGCTTTTTGTGTGTTTACCAGAGGGTAGGGGAAGACATTTTTTTTAACAATCCCCCCTTTCAAGACACCCAGCTTTGACATAAGATAAACATGGCGCCATGGCTATCGCCATTTATGAACATTTTCCCATCGAAAAAACATCCAGTTTCATTTTTGATAGGGGATTTCCCATACTGCAATGTTCATGTCATTAAGGATGGGATTATTAACAAAGTTAAGTTGATCAACTTAGTTGAGATTCGTTTCCAAATTATGGCTAACGTCGATTTTTTCTTAGTGAAATCAAAATTCTTGAAAAATGAACCATAGAGGTAATTTTGATGTCACTAAGAAACCCTATGGTGAGATTTTTAGTGAGATTTCATAAGCCCCATGAATACTAGTTCGTTATATCTACCATAAACTATAGAATTCAGCCACTGAAATAAGGCAACTTAGAGATTTTGTGCCCCATCCTGTATGGACCATACCATACCCACAAAATCTCTACATCGTTGGCTCTGCCGCCTGCCGCCTGCCGCTAGGTCGCGCTTCCCGGCTCTGCGAACTCGACACCTCGGCCCGGGGGACATAGATCGGGGAGAGATGTGGGGGTGCTGTTCCATTGAGAGATGTCGGTGAATGTTACATTGTAACCATAGTTGTAGGGGTGGTATCGGTGATATCCCAACTTATGGAGCTTATGATCATAGTTATAAGTTATACATAGTTATACCCATGAATGGCCCCAACTGTACCCCAACTAGCCCATGCAAGGTGGTGTATTTTATGGAAAAAAACTGATGAGTCAATGGAATTTAACTGGGATTTACCATATTTTTCTTGGCTAAGTTGGTAAGTATAGCTGCTTAGGCTGAGGTTTATGGTATATAAATGTATATTATATATATATATCGAAGTAGTTTATGAGCCATATCACTGGGATATAGTATGATATTGTCAATGTAACTCCTTGGTTTCAAAAAATGTGTCTCTTCAATTCCCAACAGCTGAGGTTGTTGGGATTTAATGATTAAGGGAATTATTAGTGGGCCACCAGCTTCAATGAAGGAGTCCATCTTACATGGCTGATGAAGCAAGTTGAGGAGGAACATGTTCAGTGGAATTCTGTGAATTCTGCTGGTGATGCGAACAGTAGGCAAGGGGGAGCTGACAGTAGCCCCCACATCTAATGTTTGTTCATGATTTACCCTCTGGTGAACTAACATAGCAATTGAAAATGGCCATAGAAATAGTGGATTTTCCCATTAAAAATGGGGATTTTCCATTGCTATGTTAGTTCACCAGAGGGTATTCAAATTGACTCATTCGAATGTGGCCTTAAATGGCATTATCCCGCAGATTTAGACAAACCTTAGTTGGGTCAGTCGGTGGATTTCTTGGTACAGATGAGATGAAATGAAAAATACTTGCAGGTTGGCCAGTTCAGGAGAAACCTCATACAATATCATATAGATGGTTATATATACTGGTTGGTGGTTTGGAGCATTTTTTATTTTTCCATATGTTGATAATATTAGCCCCAACTGATTTTCATATTTTTCAGAGGGGTTGAAACCACCAACCAGCAGTATGTATTATTAAGATATACAGATCCAATCATATCATATTCATATAATATGGTTGGTGAGTATGAATTACATCCCCATGAAATGGTTGGTGAAGATCTCCGTATGTTTGTCTCCGACTTGTCGTAGGTGCACATTTTTCCACATATACACAAGCATACAAAAAACTGGACGATCATAGGTATCCATTATATATATATGTATATTTATTTATACTTCGATATGCACATATGTATATTATATATATACATATGTATAATATATATATATGTACATATATATAATATATGTTATATATATATGTTATATATATATATATGTTATATATATATATATATGTTATATATATATATGTTATATATATATGTTATATATATATGTTATATATATATATGTTATATATATATATATGTATGTATGTATATATAATATATATGTAAATTATATATACTATATACATATTTAATACATAGCCTTGTGAGCTCCAGGTGTGTTCCCTCCGCTGGCCTCGTCGGTGCCTGGGCGCGGCTTTTCTAAGGGGTCATTTTTGGCTACATTTTAGCAATGGCTCCATCGTGGTTTTCCATGGGATTTAAGCAATAAAGACAGCAAAAAAAGGTGTTTGGCCAATAGGAATAGTGATTTTGACATATAAAATGACCAACAAAACATATAGTGATTTCTGGCTATTTAACCCTTGTAAATAGATGTAAATAGTGGTTTCATGACATATGAATGGGTATTTCATGGGACAACATTCAAACATGGGGATTTGTGATTAAACATTGGGATTCAACCTCAGGTGATTTAGCAGTTTCTTATGAAAGTCACCATGTATAGAAGATAACACATCTATAATGAAACTGGAGGCCATTGTCTATAGCTATATTAAATTTCGAAGCGGTATGTCTGATTCTTGTTGAATAGAACAATGTTGGATGTTGATTAGTGGATACCCCACGTGTAAAAAAACTTTGTTCGTCATTCTGTTTGAATATCGTGCCCCAAATGTGACTCTTGCCACATATTTAAGTGAACAACTGGGTGAGTTTGGGGGTTCATTGGATGGGGCCATTTGATATTTTTTGCTTTTCTTTGTTGGTCTAATGGAGATGATACAAGGATGGGTTTGCACAATCTGATTCCAAATTAAAATAAACCACATTAGTAGATGTACAATTTGATATCCAATTTGGGTTGGTTTCATTTCTCTAGTTCCCATCATGTTTTGTGAAATTCGATGTGAACTCCAAACATTTTTCGCTGCGACAGGTGTTGCAACCATCTGGCCCTGGGCCTTGCCAATGGCGACGTCCAGATTTGGGTGCCATGGGGGGGCAAGGGTGTTGATTAAACATTAGGGTGGACCCCCTAAAATATAATACATAATATGTATACGTATACAGTATATGATTTTAGATGTACACACACATATGTATACAGTATACAATACATATATATATATATAATACAATATTATGTGTCATCATATGCACGCAGCCCAATCCACGATTCCTTTCAAATATTCGGACTTTCCCCAACTGGAAGGTTTCGAATCCTGGATTCACCAAATTCTTTCGAAACAGCCATGACTAAGATAAAATACACATTTTCAATGGATTGGTTTAAGGGAAAAAATATATGTGAAAATCCCATATTTAATGGGAAAATCTACCCTTAAACCAATCCATTGACATTTTTGATGATTTATCGCTTTTGAGGGGTTTATTTCTGGTGGAAAGTGATCGGCAATTGAACACTCATATGCAGATATGACTTTGTTTGTGCGGAAAAAACATGGGAAAAATGTGCAATTGTTTTGTCTGTGGGTGCCCCATTGAGATATCCCAAATGAAGGTCTTTGCCATGCGCGTCCTGCTCACGGGCGGCTGTATTCACGGGGCCCAAGTCCCCTAAGTTATCCCATTGATAAGCGGATTATAATCCCACTTAATGTGGGTAAGACAATAATAAAGCACCCATCTGGGAATGGTAAACATACCATCTATAAAAATGGTGATGACTGGGGGATGGTGCAAATGGCTTTGTTTTACCCGCAAAAAGCTAATCATTTACCGCATGGGGTGATGCTCCAAGTGGGTCATAGTCTCATCACCCGCACCTGGTGGACCAGTGTCTCTGGATTTGAAGAAGTCATGATTCGTCAAATTGCAGGGGTCCAGTTGAATAGCAGATGAACGTTTTTTGTCAGGATGCTCCAAATCAAACAGCTAGGATTCCTAGGATATGCTAGGATAATCGTTTCCGGAGTAACATTATCTATGAAAGGGCCAAGATCTTGACGCCTTTTGGATGTGCGTTTTTTACGGCGCACCGGGTGCTCCTTCAGTGTGGCACACCATGTTTATCATGCTATGAAATCTTTTGCCACTGGCAAGTAAGGTCCAGGCCCACTATAGCCCGGCTAGTCTCCCAACTAAGGTGGATGGGACTTTTCCGTTCTGAACCTCTTGGATGACAAAACAGGGAACATATCATGCTACAATCAGTTAATGTCAACCCTGGATTAATAAACCCCTAAGCTGTTTCATTGGAAAGGTACCATTGAAGTATCAAATCATGACTATTGGGGGAATGCCCCCCTAATTAATAAACCATGGTTTATTAATCCGGGGTTGACATTACATGGTTTCCCTCTTTGTCCCGTTGCTGTCCAGATGTCCCACGTGACGGTGTGGCTCTCCCTGTTGGGGCCCTTTTCAGGGTAAAATATTGGTCAATAAACGCTGCATGGAGCGTGTTCCCGTCTCTTTTCAGCCATTCTTGTCGACACGCATCTGAACAACGATCAGTCTGGGGGCAACAATATGCTACAATGAAAAAATGCAGCAACTCGCTGCAACATGCTGTATCATCTATGACATGATCACATGCGGCATGTAATTTATTTTTTTAAGTTCATCTGGTCTTAAATGCATCAAAATGCCCTTGGCAGAACCTTAATCTGATCATGCACTATAATATAATGTACATCATTAATGTTCTGTACATTTCTGTACTATAAATGTTGGAAATCTGCCCAATCTCTGCCCAGCGTCTGATTCGTCCAACGTCGGACATCTGACGGCCCACTTGGCGTGGCAGCGCGCTGGCTGGCGCGCCAGGATACCTCAGCTGGGGTGCAGCTGCAAGTCCTTCGTGGCCATCGCAGGCGGCCCGAAAAAAACCCCTGCGATCGATGATTTCTTGGGGGATTACCATCTGGTAAACTAACATAGCTATTGAAGATGGCAATTTATACTGAGTTTTCCCATTAAAAATGTTGATTTTCCAAAGCTATGTTAGTTTACCAGAGGGTATATGGATTAAACATACAAAAAACTAGGGACAATCACCATTTTATAGCTGGGTAAATCACCATTTTTGTTCATGGGTAAATCAATGATTATTACATGGGCTTATACGTTGCACTTTTTGCTGGGAACTATAATTTTACAAGCCGTTCTCACTGGGCCACTTCACCAGCCAGCTCGTGAAAAAGATTGACGCAAGCTCTGAGGTCCGATCTTAAAAGGTGTATGGGATTTACCACCAAGGTTGGAGGGTTTCCAAGGCTGGAACATTGGCTCATGAATAGTAGAATAGTAATAATTGTCAATAAAATATCACCATAAATTATCATAAAGTATCATAAAATATCGGGGTTTGATGATTCTATCCTGGCATATTTTCTATCCTGAATCCCATTAAATATGAACAGATAAATATTGCCTAAGAAATCTCCCAAGATATCCCTGTTATTCCACACCGTAAAGGAGGTGCTGTGCAGTAAGCTGGGCCAGCCACGTGGATCTCTTCAGCGGCTCGCAGGCGTTTTGATGGAGACATGGAGATTTATCCAAAATCGTTCTGGATGATTTTGGATGGATAGACTATTTTGGATAGACTATTTTGGATAATTAGTTGATTTTATCTATTTTTTTGGGATAGGTCCGGATAGGTAGACTATTTTGGATGGTTAGACTATTTTGATTGGATTTAGCAAGAGACGCCAGTGGATATCAAGAGATCCATCGAACCATCCCAAACAGCTTCTTGATGTCTGGATCTAGAGATGATCATCCAAGATGATTGTGGGGTCACTTGGCGCGGTTGGTGGAAGACTAACCATCGTCATGGAAATCCCAATGATTCAATGTTGAACCTTCACCAACCAGCCAGGTCAACATAGTTTAATCCCCATGTACGTTAATCCTCTGGTAGACGTTTACATAACTATGGAAAATCACCATGTTTAATGGGAACATCAACTACAAATGGCCATTTTCAATAGCGAACTGTTAGTCATTACCAGAGGGCAATCCTCACTTTTTTAACCCCAACAGATGGGATCCATGACACTTCTCACATCCCCCAATGATAGCTGGAAGTTTATACTAGGAAATTGCTGGAAAATCTCTCTCTCTCTCTATAAATGGCTGGGATTTTCAGCTTAAGCCATGTTTGAGCAAACCGGAGGGTACAGGATGGGGCCCCCAAGATAGCGTTCAGTTGAGATATAAGTGGCTGAATTCTATGGTTTATGGTGGATTTAGCTATAGATAACTATAGTATTCATGGTGTTTATAAACCAACATTCACATCACTGGCGGCCCCCATCCTGTAGTGGTCTTTGTTCATTCATTCCCCATATTGACCTCCACCAATGTTTGGCGTCCAACATGCGACGTTGATCGAGGCTGATGTCCAAATTGTTTGTTGGTTATCGTTACCTATCTCTAATGTATTGATCTTACATCTATATCCGCACATATATATACATATATACCTGGGTAAGTTATAACGACCTCACTGTTCTCCCTCACTGGAAATCATAGTTAATAAGGGAAATCATCCCCAAATGACCGAACTATTCAGGTTAGTGAATTATTATAATTTACCCATATATAAATATATATATATATTATATGGACATATTTATATACGCATTTCAAGAAACAATATAGATATGAATATATCTATGTATGGTATATACACATCAAATATACTTTTTAATATACAGTACACATGTCATATCATGTCAAACATATCAAGTCTGTCCATGACTTCCCCGCAGGATACGTCCATCTTGCACTGGGACCTGCGTGAGCCCTGTGACGGCACCTGGGCGTCCATCGCTTTCGCATGGGATGGTGGGTGAAAAACCTCTCGAGCCATAGAGGAATGGATGGTGGGGTTGTTGGTTAACAAAAGCCCCAGTAACTATACAGGATGGTGCCCCCCAGTTATAAGTTGGTTTATAAACCCCATTAACTATAGTTATATCTGCCATAAACCATAGTTATGGGAGTTATAAACCAACTTAGCTAACTATGGGGCACCACCTTGTAGTTATGTGCGTACCATCTTTACCATAGTGAAATTGGAGTTATGTGAACCCCAACTTAGCGTTCGTAAACGGGGGCACCACTTTCTAGCCTCTGGTAAACGTTTACATAGCTATGAACAATGGCCATTTATTTATAGTTGATATGCCCATTAATAGCGTGGTGATTTTCCATAGTTATGTTAACGTTTGCCAGAGGGTAGCCAGAACAAACACCATGTTTTTTGGTGGGTTTAACTCGGAAAAAATATACAGATTTAACTGATTTAACCTTTTCAACATTGGTTGTACTATCAACTACGGGGAGTTATCTCGGAAATATGGAGATGTCATGACCATGACCATATGCAGATATCTTGGCATCAAAATGGTGGTCCACTCACCATTATGTTATCTAAAATAATTATATATAATAATAATATTTATAGATTCTATACTAGATAATAAACATTATATCTTGATTCAACTGGGAAATGTGTTCTTTGACCATCACAGAAGGGTTGATTCATACAGTCCCATGAGTACCAACCAACTGATTCCAGGAATTACCAGGTCAGCACCAATTTTGGGTTCCCATAGAGGTGTGTTCGGCATCATGGTCTTCAAAAGATGGGTTTACTGAGAGGCTGATTTTTTGTTTTTTTTTTCAGTAAAAAGGATACAGCCTACCATGTGGGGCGTCTTTCAGGAACATGTTTGTTCTGTGAAGGAACTTATTGTTTGAAATCCGTCAAAACGGATTTCCACATTCCAATGGGTTCTGAAGGGAATTATGGAAGTCTCAAACCAATTCCCATAATCCGTCAGAAACTGCCCCGAGCAGACGGCACAGTTTGTGCAGAGCCCGAGAGTTGGTTAAGAATCTGAAAGCCTGAGGTTTTAAAATGGCAAATTTCCACCACAATAGGTCGAGGGTCCCTCAAATTCTTAGAGCGTTCTTAGTCATGTATTGTGCGCATCTGCGCAATTTGGAGCGAGCCAAAGCAAGGTAACGAGGTGGAGCTGGCAGATTTGACAAGAGACACACGAAAAAACAATTTTTTAGAGCCTGAAAAATTGTTTTTTTTGGCAAATCCGGGCTTCTCTGAGTTTCATAAGAACAGTGCAGAAAAAAACATTTTTTTAGAGCCTGAAAAATTGCTTTTTTGGCAAATCCGGGCTTCTCTGAGTTTCATAAGAACAGTGCAGAAAAAACATTTTTTTAGAGCCTGATTTTTTTTTTGCAAATCCGGGCTTCTCTGAGTTTCATAAGAACAGTGTAGAAAAAACTTTTTTTTAGAGCCTGAAAATTGTTTTTTTTTGCAAATCCGGGCTTCTCTGAGTTTCATAAGAACAGTGCAGAAAAAACATTTTTTTAGAGCCTGAAAAATTGTTTTTTTGGCAAATCCGGGCTTCTCTGAGTTTCATAAGAACGGTTCAGAAAAAAACATTTTTTTAGAGCCTGATTCCCCACCTGCCAGGTGAGGGTTGTTAGATTTTATGTCAGTTGCTTGCTCCTCCTCCTTCTCCTCCTCCTCTCCTCGTCTCCTCTCCTCGTCTCCTCTCCTCGTCTCCTCTCCTCCTGCTCCCTGCCGGACCTCAACCACGACCATCCACGCCCAGTGTGCCCTGCCGGACCTCAACCACGACCATCACCGCCCAGTGTTCCCTGCCGGACCTCAACCGCGAGTATCCACGCCCAGTGTTCCCTGCCGGACCTCAACCACGACCATCCCCGCCCAGTGTTCCCTGCCGGACCTCAACCACGACCATCCACGCCCAGTGTTCCTGCCGGACCTCAACCGCGAGTATCCACGCCAAGTGTTCCCTGCCGGACCTCATGTAGGAAGATAAAATGTCAGATAGAGTGCCAGAAGATTTGCCAGGTAGAATGCCAGAAAATATGCCAGAAGATATGCCAGATAGATATGCCAGAAGATATTCCAGAAGATATGCCAGATAGAATGCCAGATAGAATGCCAGATAGAATGCCAGATAGAATGCCAGAAGATATGTCAGAATATATGCCAGAAGATATGCCAGATAGAATGCCAGATATGAATATGCCAGATAGATATGCCAGAAGATATGCCAGATAGAATGCCAGAAGAATAGATGAATGCCAGAAGATATGTCAGATAGAATGCCAGAAGATATGCCAGATAGAATGCCAAATAGAATGTCAGAAGATATGTCAGATAGAATGCCAGAAGATGTGCCAGTAAGAACATGTATAAATGTCATGGTGGGGATCACACGAAGTAAAGTATTTTTTTTTGGCAAATCCGGGCTTCTCTGAGTTTCATAAGAACAGTGCAGAAAAAAACATTTTTTTAGAGCCTGAAAAATTGCTTTTTTGCAAATCCGGGCTTCTCTGAGTTTCATAAGAACAGTGCAGAAAAAACATTTTTTTAGAGCCTGAAAAATTGTTTTTTTGCAAAGCCGGGCTGGGGCTTGTTTGCGTTTCATAAGAGCAGTGCAGAAAAAATAATTCTTCGTTGCTTGAACAATTGTTTTTCTGCAAAGCTCGATTTCATCCCATAAGACCATAAGGGGTCACTCCACAAAAAAAATGAACCGCAAAGGGGAATTGCAAACCTCACGTATAAGCAGTAATTTAAGAATTTGGCAATCCTATTCCAGGGTCCCTCAAATTCTTAAAGTGCTATGTGCTTGGTATAGCTGAAAATATGTAGCCCGCCTTGGATTCGAGCCCCTCAAATTCTTGTACAGTGAATTCTTATACAATACTCAAGCTGTATAAGAGCCCCCGACTAGCTGGGATGGCCCCACCAAAATTGGTCAGCAGTTCAGAGTGAATTGCAGTCTTGTACAGGGGGGTGCCCCCCAGTGATGTTTGTTGGTTTATATATATATATATAAACCATTATAACCCCCAGGAGTACTATAGTTATCTCTACTATAAACCCAAGTTAATTCAGCCACTGAAAGAAGGCGTTTCTGAACGCGAGCTCGACTGCGGGCGCCATCCTGTACCAACTTGATAATGCAATGACAAGGTCAAGCCAGGATGAACAACCTTTGGTTGCTATCCAGGATATCCATGTTACATTTCTCCGGAAGATCATGCGTCAAATGAACATTGAATTTCCAGCTAGGTATTGTGTTCTTTTAAATTGTTTTCCCCATTGAAGCCATTTTTTATGACATGTTCATGTTGATTCATGGCTTCCTCAATTTTCCCCAAAATTCAATTCATTTCTTGTTTTATTTCTTGTTTTCCCCATGATTTTCCCCAATTTTCATGTTGATTTCCCCAGTTCTGATTTTTCATGGCCTGTTTTTGCCCAAAAAGCCGTCCGGTGAAATGGTGAACAATTTCGAGGGCTCGGTTCGCGAATAACCAGGTCGACCCGCTCAACGCCTGGCCGGACATGCTGAAGAGGCCAACGGGGGGCCCAGGGAGCCTGAATGATGCTATTCAACAAGAATACTATGATATTGGCGGTGTATAGTTTTATATACTAAACTATGGTCTAAAAACTGGAAGATAGTTTGGTTTATTATATACAATTTTATTATATGGGTGTATAGTATACCATAGTATTCTTATGATATTGTCAGTTTTTCTCAGACTTTCACCAGTTTGATGTATTATAAGATTCTACACACTGATATACTCTGGGTAAATTGTAACGATCTCACCTTTCTCCCTCTCTGGAATCATTGTTTATAAGGCAAATCATCCCCAAATGGCCTTAATTCAGGCTAGTGAAATATTGTAATTTATCTAGAATACTATGATATTTTCAGATGGCTCAACATGGTTTGGTGTCAAAATAAGGTACATCATGGCACATCAAGATACATCGAGGGCCCCAAAGTGAGCTATGGTGAATCGAATCAGTGAGCTGACTCTGAACTTACTCACTTGGGAGATCAAGATGTGAAATTCATATCTGGTTGGTGGTTTGGAACATCTTTTATTTTTCCATAATATATGGGCATAATCATCCCAACTGACTTTCATATTCTTCAGAGGGGTAGGTATACCACCAACTAGCATATCATTTCACATTTTTCGAAGAGCAAATTGAAACTTGGGTAACTGGGACGATGGGATGCGGGCTTGGGGTCAAGCGACTTTTAAAAGAGTGCCACTGGTCACGCCATTGCGCACAGGTACTTGGATGTGGTTTGCAATCCATATATCATCATATATATATATTATATGTTTATATAACTTTATATTATATAGCCCATACTTCGAAGTTGGCTCATTGCATATAATACAGAACCTGAACACCAAATTTACCTTCATGCCAACTCTGGATTGATAACCCTCTGGGCTGTCTATTTGGGGGGTTGCAGTTTGTTGCAGTAGCAGATTGCGATAGATTACGACTTGTTTGGTGCAATCCCGTGGGATTTGTCAAGAATGGTTCTTTGATATGGGGTTGACAGTACATATGTTCTTTCTGTTTGGTCATATCGCTTCGATTTTCACTAACACTGACTAACGCCAGCCTTCCGGAATTTGGGCAGCCTGCACTGCTTCTTCCCTGGTATTTTCTCAGCTGTTTGTTTCGTTGGTTCCATGCCCGCACCTTTTTGTGCAGATCATCCCCGTTGTTGACAGGTGCTGCCAAATTTGATCACCGATCTGTAAGGCATTCTTGATGGTTGAGACATGTTGATGCTAGCGGCTAGCGCCTTCAATCTGATGAAATCTGGATCAAGTCCCCAGTGTTCCCCCATCATCTGTGCCATGGTCAACAGTTCAATAATTTATACCTACAAAAAGGGACTCGTCATCCCACGTGAATGGGTATTACTATGCACCAGTGGCAAGGAACCCCAACGGAGTGGGAATGATATCCATCTTGGTAAGTGGGTAAGAACTATATGAAATACCACACTTCGATGAATGGAATATACCCTGTCATATTGTGGGATTCAAGATCCAAATGACGGCGAGATGACCATACACCATTAATTTATCCAATGTTTTGACACATTGAGCGGAGTTCAATCACACCAGACGATCGTCCAATCCACATGTTGCTAGCTAAATGCTCCAACCCATTATAGTTAAATGATAGCCACTTTTGGGGGTCAAATAGGTCATGTCACCTTCGCATTGACCAAATTTACCTCTCCTTGTACCTGGGGTGCTGGGGAGCAACCCTGGATTTATCCTAGTTACCTCACAAGTGATGGAAAATAGTAAATTCATATTTTGGTGAAACATTGGTATTATAACGATTTTGGTGAAAACATAGTATAACCAATATTTTAGTGATTATCCTAGATCCCTTTTTAGTGAGCACATATCCCCGGTGGCATTGGCTCTTTAGTGAGCACCGGTCCAATTTCACGTTATTTCCAAGCGAAGAGCATCGGTCCAAAGCGGTTCAATCCCCATAGGGGGAATAGTCTTATCTATAACCTTCATGACCTATAGAAATTCCTGTATGATATGCTATATATATGTAACTTATATATTTATAATTTACATATTTATATAACTATATATAACTAAATTATATATATATATATAACTAAAATATATACATATTAGATAATACATGATAATGCATTTTTATCATAAATAATGTACCCTCTGGTAATTTAACATAACTATGGAAAATCACCTAATTTTTAATGGGAAAATCCACTATTTCTATGGTCATTTTCAATAGCTATTTTGACATAACCAGAGGATAATACATTTCTATCATAAATAATGTATGTCCCAAAACAAACTTCATTTATCCATTGCTTCAGCCAGGTCTGTGGCCTCAGTTGGTCTGAGGAATTGCAGCTCTTGGCCTCCGGTGGCAACGAGGGCGACGTGTGGAGACCCGGCGCGAGTTATTTTTTATGGTTAACGATGGTTATTAATGGTTTGTTAATGGTTAATAAAATGGTATATTGATATAATGGTAATTGATATAATAATAATACTATGGTTAATGATGGTTATTGTATATTAAAGATGGTTAATGATGTTACTATGGTGATTATCTTACATGATTAATGGTTATTAATGGTATGATGTTACTAAGATCTAGGTCAATCTTAGATGGGTCAATCATGATGGTTATTAAACGTTTGTTAATGGTTAATAATATTGTATATTGATATAATGGTAATTGATATAATAATATTTAATCGTTATTAATATATCCATATATCTGGGTTAATAAGATAAATGGTTGTGATGGTTATGATGTTATTATGATGTTATGATGGTTATGATGGTTATAAATTTTATGAGTTAAAGATGCTACTAAGATCATATGGTTCTTAAAAATATATTTAATGGTTATTTAATGGATTTATATGATGGTTATATATACTGTATTATATATTAAAGATGGTTCATGATGTTACTATGGTTATTATCTTACATGATTAATAGTTATTAATGGTTATTTAATGGTTATTATCTATGGTTTGTTATATATTATTTATAGTTATTATATGTTAAAATATGTTACTCAGATCATATGGTTCTTAATGGCTATGGATAATTATATGGTTATGATCTTACATGATTATTACATGATAATGGATCGTTATAATCACAAATATTCATGGTACTAATATACATTATATGGATTAATTAGTATTAATCATTATTACATGGATAATGGTTACATGTTGTAATCACGCAATAACCATAAACATATATGGCACATTCTCAAGGTCATTACATGCTTAATACATGGTTTTTATATGGCACATTATTATGGTTGAGATAATATGGATATTATGGTCATTATATATTAAAATATATTATATATGGAACATTTTATGGAATATGAAATGGCTATGATCTCGGTAAAAATAGAAGATGATATGCCTTGTTGTGGATCCAGCCGTGCCTTCTTAGGAAGTACTGTAGCTTCTCAGCCATGGATCCATTGGGATGGTTCTTATATGCTTGAACAAATAATATATCTGCTTGAAACATATGTTTAACCATATAATATTCTAAGCATATATAAATATACAACCACATATATAACCACCATGATATGCTTGAAACATATATTTTTTTTGGTTATTGTATGGTTATTATGAACCATATAAATACTATTCTAAGTATTTCCATATAACCATATCTAGATAAAGTATGTGTGGTTAATTATATGGCCATATTGTGATATGGAAGAGCATATTTGGAGGTTTCCATAAATGGTGGTACCCCAAAAGCTGGATGGTTTAGAATAGAGAATCTTACTAAATTGGGATTACCCTCTGGTGAACTAACATAGCAATTGAAAATGGCCATTTATAGTGGATTTTCCCATTAAAAATGGTGATTTTCCCTAGTTATGTAACAGTTTACCAGAGGGTAGTATGCGGGTTTCAAAAAATAGGGGTACCCCGAAAACCCATGTTCAATATTAAAATGGTCATCCATGACTTGGATGATTTGGGGTACCCCTATTTTAGGAAATATCCATATGGATCAATGGATTGCTTTAAGGGAAAATTTACAGGAAACCATGGATTTCCCCATTAAATATGGGGCTTTCCTGTAAATTTTCCCTTAAACCAATCCATTGAATGGAGGAAAATATTTGGTAATTAGCTAAGTAAAGGGTGTTTCAAAGCAACTCTGGCTGAATTTTGGCTGAATGGCCCTGTGCTTGGAGGATTTTCCTTACGAATCGGAACTGGCAAACAACCCATATTACAACCCCACTGAATGGGGAATTACTAACGAGGAAAGCATTCATTGATCTCAATGATAATGGGATAGATATAGGATATTCATACGGATTAATATGGGATAGTAGTGGGATAATGATGGATGATTATGTGACTCTATGTACATTTTACCATTGATCTCAGTAAATTACAACGACCTCACTGGGACCTCACTGGAATGATGGTCAAGGGTCTTGAAAATCTTGGCCCGCGACCATGCTGGGTTTTGGAAGCAGAAGTTGTCACTCACACGACGAGGAGGCGCAGGAACCCTTTCAGAAACCCCTCTTAAGTGCCAAGGGGTATGAGGGGTCTATTGAATTTTCTCTATGATAAATCTATCTATCTAAATACAGTATATATATGTACTTATATATATATATATGTATACACATGTTCTCTCCTGCACAGGGGGGTCATGCACGACTGCTCCCACCGTAGCTTGACCCTGGCATCGATAAAATTGATACGCTGTCGTCAAGCAGGTGGGGCAGAGGAATTAGTGCATGTACCATATAATTTTATATACTGTATATATATATATATTCATTTATTTGTTTTTTGTTATGTATGATATATTATCTATATAACATCAATAACTATATATATATACATTTATTCATATAGATAATTATATATTGTACGTGCAAAATGTCTATATATGACCTATCCACATATCTCCAACATCCTCCAACCACTTTCAAGATGACCTTTCTCAACCCCCATCAATGCTCCCACGCATAGTCTCAAGCAATATCCCCAACGCAAATAACCAAGTGATGTTCACCAACTTTCATGCAATCCCTTGAATTTTCATTAAAAATTCACCATTCATTCTGATCAAATTTCTAGCTGAGCCTAGCTGAGCCTAGCTTAGCTGGTTATATAAAGGCCTACAGGATGGGGCCCCCAGTCGAGCTCGCGTTCAGTTGAGATATGGCTGTGGCTGAAGAAACTATGGTTTATGGTAGGTATATTAGATATAGCTCTAGATACCGAACTAGTATTCCTGGTGTTTATAAACCAACATTCACATCACTGGGGGTTCCATCCTGTGGAAATATATGGAGGTTTCCTGAAATCGGGGTAATGTGGTTAAAACAACGCCATAAACCACCCATGACTGGGAATGGTAACCATACCACATATAAAAAATGGTGATGACTGGGGGATGGTTTATGGCATTGTTTTACCCACATTTTCTGGTGTTCACTATAAAAAATTGTTATTTCCTGGTGTTTTCTTTTCACCAACATTCACATCACTGTCATCACTGGGGGGCCCCCCATCCTGTCATTTTTGCGTCGCGCTGCGTCGCGCTGCTTCGCCCCAGGTCCTCCTTTGGAGCCGCGGGACCTTGGAGCGGCGCCTGGGAAGCCATACGGCGGCCTGCAAGGCCTTGGACTGGTCGCCGGGGGATCCCAGGGGATCCAAGTGGAAACTCAGTGGCCAGCCATTTGGGTCGTGGATTTATCCATGGATTTATGGGAAAATCATGGGAAAATCATGGGAAAATCTTTAACATCTTTATATTTATCATATTTTACCCTCTGGTTATGACTAACATAGCCATGGTAAAGCCATGGCCCTAATATAGTGTGGTAAACCAAATAATAAACCATCCTATTAACCAAGCATATACCAAGTTGTGGAATAAATTGATGTACCCTGCTGGTTATGACTAACAGTTCGCCATGGTTAAGCCATGGCCAATAGGTTTATAGATGGTTTACCGTTCTTAATAGCATGGGTGGATCTTTCCATGTCGAACTGTTAGTCATAACCAGAGGGTATCATGGATTTATGGAAAATCATGGGAAAATCATGGGAACATGTTGATAATCATGGGAAATCGTTGATTTATCTTAGACCAAAATATCCGAAACATCAAATAGTGAACACAATTGAAGTTCTAGCGTTTGGGTACCCATGGACAGACAACTTTTTTCATTTGTTTGCAAGAACCCTTCCCACGTTTAAGGTACATATGTTTGAGCCAGCGCCATTTCCGAAACGCTTATGAAATTGGGGCATACCCTTGTCTTCATGCCTCAAATATTCATAGTTTTCTACATGAATGGCAACAGGTTTTAAGCAACATTGAGGGACTTGACGAATTACCAGACAAGGGGCGTTTACCAGATCGCCAATCCTTACTTTCAAACTTCTTTGATGCTCTTGTTCATCTGGTTGGTGGTTTGGAACATTTTTTATGACTTTCCATTCAGTTGGGAATGTCATCATCCCAACTGACGAAGTCATATTTTTCGGAGGGGTAGGTCAACCACCAACCAATCATGATTTGATAAAGCCTTAAACCCATGGTATTCCAATCCGTAAACCGAATCCAATGCTATCCTCTGATAATCAAACGTGGGTTTGCTGGACAATGCCCTCTTTGTAGATGATTTTCCAGTGTGTATATATATGTATACACATATATATATTTATTATATTATGCATATATATATATATACATGAATATATATATATATATATATAGTTGCATTTTGTCCTTAGGCCCCTGCATTTTACGTTATTTGTTTAGGGGTTCCACCCCCCTGCCACCACGCCCATGGGTGGTTCGGGGATTTCCCAGGCCTCGTGGGGTGTTGGCCACTGGTGGAGGGACCGCAGATCGGCAACTCGGCTCCAGACGTTGGTGATTAGTAGTGGTTAATGGTTAATTAATGGTTAATCTGATAGTTAATGATGGTTAATGATAGTTAATGATGGTTAATGATGGTTCATAATCTGGTAGGTGGTGACTGGAACCATGGAATGGACTATGACTTTCCATGAAAAGTTGGGAATTTCATCATCCCAACTGACGAACTCCATGATTTTTCAGAGGGGTAGGTCAACCCCCAACCAGATGGTTAACAATGGTTAATTGATTGTAATTAATGGTGATTAATGATAATTATATAATGGGATTTATGGTGAGTAATATGGAATTCATCAACAAAAATGTGGATATTTATATTGATATTAAATGGTTAATTAATTCTGATTACTGGTGATTAATGATAATGGGATTTACCCTCTGGTAATCTAACGGTTAGTAGTGGTTCATAATGGTTGATGATATAATTGTGATAATGGTGATTAATGACGGTGAATGGGATTCATCCTCTGGTTATGACTAACAGTTTGCTATTGACAATGGCACATTTTATTCGTTGATTTCCCTATTAAAGATGATTGTTTTTTCCATAGCTATGTCAGTTTACCAGAGGGTAGAGGATGCACAGTGGATAATCCTTAAACAATCTAAAACTGGAAATCCCATGAAAAGGATTACTATGATACATAGTGATAAGAATGATTTACTGTAGAACAATACAGAATAAAATAGAAAATATATTATAATATAGAATAATATAGAATGATAGAATAATATAGACTGATATAGAATAATTTAGAATATAATATAGAATTTGTCTTCGAGCATTTCCTCAATTTTCTGGTCGAGGGATTGTCTATCTAAAGCTTTCTGGAGTTTTGTGCACGACACAAATTCATAACATAAATATTATAATATTCCAATTCATATTCATTTCTGTATTATAGCTGTTGTTTGAAGATGTGCCAAAATCTCAGCACATGGGTATGTCTGAAAATGGGTACACCCACAAAATCGCCACATGTTTTCGGGAAGATGATGAGAAACCAGGAACTTCCAAGCCCAACAGGCAGGTTGACCCAACTTCGCGGTATGTTCTCCCGAAACTTCCCAACATGCTTATTGTCCATCCATAAATATATGGATTCAATTTATCCACCTATCCACCTATCTACCTATCTACCTATCTACCTATCTATCTATCCGTCCACCCATCCATATATCGATCTATCTATCTAGCTATCTATCTATCGATCTATCTATCTAGCTATCTATCTATCTATCTACCTACCTACCTATCTATCTATCTGTCTGTCTGTCTGTCTGTCTATCTTGTCTATCTTATCTATCTTATCTATCTTATCTATCTTATCTACTCTATCGATCTTATCTATCTTATCTATCTAATCTATCTAATCTAATCTAATCTAATCTAATCTGATCCTATCTAATCCTATCTAATCCTATCAAATCCTATCTAATCCTATCTAATCCTATCTAATCCTATCTCATCCTATCTAATCCTATCTAATCCTATCTAATCCTATCTAATCCTATCTAATCCTATCTAACCCTATCTAATCCTATCTAATCCTATCTAATCCTATCTAATCCTATCTAATCCTATCTAATCCTATCTAATCCTATCTATCCTATCTATCTATCTATCTATCTCTCTATCTATCTATCTAT